TCTCTCTCTCTCTCTCTCTCTCTCTCTCTCTCTTTCTCTCTCTCTCTCTTCTCTCTGTCTCTCTCTCACTCCCTCTGCCCCTCTCCCCTGCTCATATGCTCTTTTTCTCCCTAAAACTAAAACTTAAATGAAAAATTAAATTAAATTCGGGGTGCCTGGGTGGCTCAGTTGGTTAAGCGTCCAACTTCGGCTCAGGTCATGATCTCATGGTTCATGGGTTTGAGCCCCACGTCGGGCTCTGTGCTGACAGCTCAGAGCCTGGAGCCTGCTACAGATTCTGTGTCTCCCTCTCTCTCTCCCCTCTCCTGCTTGTGCTGTCTCTCTTAAAGGTAAATAAACATTTTTAAAAATTTTTTAATTAAATTAAATTAAAATTTAAAAAAATTTAAAGCCCTAAAAATTAGGCTGCTCATGGTTCATTCGTTCAGGCCCTGCATTGGGCTCGCAGCTCTCAGCATGGAGCCCTCTTAGGATCCTCTGTCCCCCTTTCTTCTGCCCCTCCCCTGCTTGCACTCTCTCAAAATTAAATAAACATGTGTATTTAAATAAATATGTGTATACATAAATACATTTTACACTGAGTTGTTCAAAGAGCCAGAGTAAGAGAATTCAGACAGAGGAAACAGCCAGGGAAAAGACTCTGGAAGAGGGACAGGCTTGATAGATGTTTAAGGAAGTGAGAAGGTCAATGTGACTAGACTTGATGGGTGATGGACAGTAAAGGACAAGTTAAAGTTGGAGAAGAGCCAAGGCATGTCTCATTGGAGACTCTAAGCAGGGGCATGATAGAATCTAATTTGTGTTTTAAACAGATCACTCTAATTGGTCTGGAGTCATGAAGAGTTATCAGCATTTGGACAATATTTAAACCCATGGGACCAGGTGAGGTCATGTTGGGAGAGCATCTATAGAGAGAAGAAAAACTGGCTCACAAGCAGGAAGTTAAAAATTCCTGTTTCTAGGGGCACCTGGGTGGCTCAGTCGGTTGGGCATCCAACTTTGGCTTGGGTCATGATCTCACAGTTTGTGGATTCCAGCCCTCTGTGGGGCTCTGTGCTGTCTTTTGGATCCTCTGTCCCCCTCTCTCTCTGCCCCTCTCCTGCCCGCACTCTCTCTCTCTCAAAAGTAAATAAAACATAAAAAAAAAAAAAAAAAGAATCGCTAGTCTAAAACATGGGTAAGAGGAAAAGCCAGAGAGGGAGCAGCCAGTGAGGTAGGAGAGAACGTGCAGCAATGTGTTGTCTGGAGGCCCAGACACTAGACCAGACTGTCAAGTGGCGGAGAAGCTGGAGGAAGGGGAGAGCAGAAGAGTGCTCCCTGCACAGCACGACTCAGAGGCTGCTGGGGACCTCGCCAAGAGCAGGGGTGGTGGGGGCAGAAGCCCAGGGGAGTGGGCTGAGGAGTGAACAGGACACGGAGGCAGAATGCAGAAGGAAGAGAGACGGAGCAGTGGGGGAGGGACTGTCGCATGAGATGGAGAGAGAGAGAGAGAGAGAGAGGCAGAGAGAACAGGCAAGTGAGAGATGGACGCAGCCGGGGTGGAAAAGGGGAGACAGACGGATCCAGTGACAGGGGCCTGGCTTCTGAACGGAGCGAGGGCCTTTTCTGAGTCATCCTGGAGGAAGGATGGAAGAGATGGATGAGATGCAGGGGCTTCTGTCGGGAAGGTGAGGGGACGGCTGACAGCTGGCTTCTGTTTTCTCGGTGGAGAATGAAGTCGCCAGGTGAGAGTGAGGGGACCAAGGAGGGCACAGACCTAGATCTCAGAGAACAGAAATCAGATTTCCCAGGACACGCGAGGGGGTGTGTCAGGCCAGCGTAGGAAGCTGCCTGAGGTTCAAAGTGAAGCCAGTCCGTGCAGCGAACATGGGGAGTTTTCTAGAAGGGACCCTGATTATTTTTCTCCTAAAGTCCTCAGGTGTATTTCGCATCGCTGAAACCACGCGGCACGTCCTCCCTGCCTTTCTTCACTTAACAGGATCATGATCTCACGGTTCATTAGTTCAAGCCCTGCATTGGGCTCGCAGCTATCAGCATAGAGCCCTCTTGGGATCCTCTGTCCCCCTCTCTTCTGCTCCTCCCCTCTCCTGCTCCCCAGGATAGCAGAGGCATTTCCCCACTCACTTACAAATTCTTTACAAACATTACTTTTAATACTTAGAAAAAATCCACAGAGTGGATGTTCCAAGGGTCACTTAACCTTTCCCCCTTTTTCCTGGACATTCAAATTGTTCCCTGGCAAGGATATCGGAGTTCTGAAAGAGGCGGCGTGTGGTCTGGAAAAGAAAGGAAAAGGCAAGCTTGGAGGCAGGGCTGGGATGTCTGCCACTGTGGCACCGAGAATCCCATCAAGAAGCTTTTAGGGGCCTCTTATTGGCAACTGGTGCTCCTGACAGGTCACATGCTAGGTTTTCCAGGACATGAGGACAAAGAATGGGACAGCAAGGCGAATCTCACTGGCTTCTCAAAGTGCCCAGTGCCCAATGGTTCGGGTATGGAGCATGGGGGAAATAAGGTTGGGAGAGCCAGACATGTGACCCCTGAACCATTTATAGTTTAAACACATATTGCAACAGCCATGTTTGAGGTAGCAACAGGCCCCTTCACTTGCCTGTTTTCCCCATAATACAAGTCTGTTCTTCATCCCCCCCTTCCTGGAGGGGGCATTGTCCCAGGAGACCTGATAGGAACTCAAGTCCCCTCCACAAAGCCCAGCAGAGGGGATCTCTTTCAGCTGTGTGAGAATGAAGTGGGCCACCTGAGCCAGTGGGCTCACCCACCCAGTAGAGGCCAGGAGACCACTTGGTGGACATACTTTCCAGGGGATACTGCCCTGGCTGGAGACTGCTTGTTCTGGGGTCAGCTGAAGCCACTTCCACCTTGGGGTTCTGTGATTCAACAACACAGCATTCACTGAATCCTACTGTGAGCCAGGGACAGAAAGGCAGCCCACGCGGACAAAGCACCTCCTGTGTGCCAAGCACTGGGCTTCCCATGCGTGATCTCACCTACTTTCACAACAGGCCACTGAGGAAAGAATCACCGCCCTATCTGAGATCGGGGAGTATCAGGGCAGAACCCTACAACATGGGGTGGTGGATGGAGAATCCCACAGCATTGCCTTTTCTTACAGCGTCTGTACCCAATAAAGGTAGGTTCCTAGTGGTGGGCTTCAGGCATAGGTGTGGTAAGAGGAGCTTACGAGCCAAGAAGTTCACTGTCCTCCCTCTCTTTGGGCTGGTGAGGGCAGAGCTGGGGCCAGAGGGCGACAAGGTCTTGTTTGTGTGTGTTTATGGGATTTGAGTTTCTGATGGACGATAATCACTGCCAGGCTTCCCAACTGGAACGGGAGCGGGCATAGGGCCAGGACCTGCCACCCTCTGGGGAGGTATAAGAGCCGGGGAGGAGGGCCTCGAGCCTGACTGGGGCAGACGTGCCAGCCACCGCTGGGGGACCAGGGTGCCGAGCTAAAGCTGCTTCGGACAGACTTCCGAGTGGAAGAGTTGGTTCTGGAAGTGGCCCTCTGTCTGGGGAGAGTCTGGGAGATGCACTAAGGAAACCATCGGGCTGGACAGGCTGGTGGAGGTTGAACACGCGTGAGTACACTCTTCCACAGTTCCTGCCGTTTTCTTCCCCACTGAGCGACTTCTTCCACACACTGAGTGATGGAGTGACGATCTGTCCCAGAGGAGCCCAGGTGGAGCCTAAGTGGCCACTTGTCTGGAATTTGAGCCCTGGACTTCTCAGAGGCAGTGTGGGGGAAAGGCAATAAGCACTGTCATTTACCCAGTGCTATAAAACACCAACCACTGTGGCTTATCTCACCAAATTGGTAATGGAGGCTGGGCTCAGCATCCTAGTTCTTGGGGGAGCGGGGTGCAGAGAGAAAATCCCAAGCAGGCTCCACGTTCAGCACGGAGCCCGACACGGGGCTTCATCTCACGACCCTGAGATCATGACCCGAGCTGAGATCAAGAGCCGGACGCTTAACCGACTGAGCCACCCAGACGCCCCAGCATCCTAGTTTCTCTGGCATTATCTTCATTTACTCTTACAACAGCCCTGTGTGGTGGATATTAGTATTTCACAGGAGACCGAAGCACAAAGATGTTAAGTAACTTGCCCAGGGTCACATAGCAAGTAAGTGGCAAAACCAGGATTTGAACTCCCTGACTCGAGAGCCTGTACTTGTAACCTCCGTGTTATACTATTGTGTGGCTGTGCTAAGTCTCTTCCCTTTCTGAGTGGTAATTTCTTTATCTGTGATTGATGATCAGAAATACATTACCCTGAGCTTCCCTAAAGATGTCTTGAGATGGGTCGGCTTTAAGCACTGGGAAGCCTTGTTGGAAACATTATCAAGAACTCAGTGCATGCCCTTTGACTCAGCGGTCAACTTTTGAAATTTATCATAAAGGATATAATCAGATTTATGAACAGGGAATTTCATTACAGTTTTGCTTATAATTACAGAAAATGAGAAGTAAACAAAATGTCCAACAGTTGAGGAATGAATGATATGTATCCATGATAAAATAATATGTAACCATTAAAAATCGTGTGTTCAAGAGGTACTGAATGTCATTGGAAAATTCTCATTTGTTAAGTGGAAAAGCCACTTCATAAAATTATACATGGTATGATGTATTTATGAAAGTGTGTATATATATGTATATTAAATAAATGAAAAAGATGGGGAAAATACCTTAAGGGTAGAGAGTGTATCCCTGAGAGATGAAATTATGAATATTTTTGTATTTTGCTTTATTCTTTTCTAGATTCCTCAAAATGTCTATAATTAACATGTCTTTTTAAATTAGAAAAATGAAGATTTTTTAAAAATGTATCTATTTAAAAAATTTTTTTAATGTTTATTTATTTTTGAGAGAGAGGGAGAGAGAGACAGTGTGCAAGTGGGAGAGGGGCAGAGAGAGGAAGACACAGAATCCCAAGCAGGCTCCGGGCTCTGCACAGAGCCCGACGCAGGGCTCAAACTCATGAACCGTGAGATCACGACCTAAGCAGAAGTTGGACACTTAACCAACTGAGCCACCTAGGCACCCCTGCTTTTTGTCTTTCAAGATTTGTTCTTCTGGTTTAGGGTTGGCTCCTTTCAAGCATCTGTTCTGATATACTCATTGGCTTTAAGAGTACCTGGCAGTCAGTATTGTGAGGGTCTCTGAGATAATCTGGTCCAACATGTTTCATGTGGGACAACCGAAGCCCAAGGGTACAAGGGACTTAACCAAGGTCAGAAAGAGAACCAGGAGTTCCAGACCCCCAGCCTGGAGCTCAAGCATCTGCCCAAAGGGCCATCATCCAGGGCAGGGAGGAGGAAGGGAATCACAGCTAGAATTTACCATGTATGGTTAATGTGTGTTAGTCACAAACTGCAAGTGAGGCCTTGAATGCCGAGGGTAGCTGACCTCATAGACCCACCCAGCGACAATTCATCCTGGGAGTGACAGGTGAGAGGGAGCAAAGGGCAGCTGGGTGGCCTGAAGCTAGCAGGGTGTGCCCCAGGCCTCTCCCTGTCACCTCTAGGCCTCTCCCAGCAGTGCTTTCTCCCCTGTGACGGCTAAGGACTCTTACTGCCAGCGGCTGGGCTCGGACACGAGAATGAAAGGTCTCCACTGGCGTTACACTCGGCTGGTAAGGGGCCCGGCTTGGGCTGGGGGGTTAGGTCAGCAAAGGTGCGGGAGGCCAGATCTCTGGCGGGATGGGATCTGGGCTAGCACTGGAGGCAGGTGTGATGTGTCCCCCTCCCAAGTCCCTCCTCAGCTGGCCCGGAGTTCAGAGCTCAGGAACCAGGGGCCTTGATACCCACTTCCTGGTCCGGAGACCCTAAGGAGCACAGACGGCTGTCTCAGCCAGATGGAGCTCTGTCCAGAAGCCCCACCCAGCTAGGACCTGCTCCCCAGGCCTGAACCTGGGGAATAGCAAAGCAGCGTCCTGGTCATTTCTCATCCTCAGGGAGGCCTCTCCTTCTTACAAAAATTCCCCCAAGTCACCGTGTGCAGGCACACGTTTACACACGCACATGTTTACACACCCACATACACGCGCACGCTCCAACGTCCACTCCGGTACAGAGTGGAAGCGTAACTGAATGAATGCATAAACCCACACACATCCACACTGACACACACACATATTGATACAATCCCGACTCACAAACACATTGACAGGTAAACACACACGGTTACTCAACATCTCCTCGCACTGCTTTGCCCACACAGGTCTATGTGGAGCCAATGCACCCATTCACACGGACGAGCGCACATCTTACACAAACCCGCACGCCCTTACTCACCTACCACACGCATTGTCTCCCCGGCTGACAGAGAAGCCTCTGACCCTTATTTTCTTTCTTTGTAAAATAAGGGCAGTAAGGAATACCTTCTTCTTAGGATTCTTGGGAAAAATACAGGGAGGTCATGCACAGCAAAAGCACTTCACCCAGTGTGTGCTGATCAATATCAGCCACTATCGGTATTGGTGGTGTTAGGATTATTATTCCACGTGCAGATGCACACAGATGTAGCTCCCAGGGCCAGGCTGGGCTGCCACCAGCGCTTCTCTCCTGCCCCTGAGCTTAGAACTTGATCCTCTGGATCTGGAGCATGCAGAAAACCATAGCACCCATGGCCACATCGGATGGCCACACGTACCTCTGACCTTCGGCAGGCAGAGGCCAGGGCAGAAGCCGGATACGGGCAGGGGCAGACTTGTCTGTCATGGGCACCAGCCTTCTCTGGCTGGGCTGCCGGTTGCAGAGCCCTGGGCAGGGGTGATGAGGCAGCTGAAGCTCTCGGGCTCCGGATACATGGAAGCTGGTGTCTCCTTGTCCCTCGGCTCACCAGGGTTCTTTGTGTCTTCACAGCCCAGTCGGGTGGAGGATGCTCTGTCTGTGGAGGAGGGTGAGGAAGAGGAGACAGCCCCGGCCCCATTCTCAGCTCCTGTTCCTGAAGATCCTGTGGAGCCCCAGCTGGCAGAAGCCAGCCAGGTTCTAGGAACCTCGGAGATGAGGCAGGTTCGGGCACAGTGCAAGGAGCCTGAGGGTCTCACCCTCCTGCTCTACCCCAGCCAGGTCCAGGGACACCTGGGGTCACTCCCGCTATGTCCCAAAGCTGGGATGGGAGTGGAAGGATGAGGTAGGGTGGATTAGGGGGAGGGGTTCAGCATCTCATCTATTCTCCAGCCTCTAGAGACCAAGGTGACCAAAGGGAGAGGGCCCCGAGGGAGACCTCACCTTGGTTCAAATCTTGGCTTTGCCACTTACTCCCTGCGTGGGCTTTAGGCAACTTGCTTCACCTCCCTGAGCCTCATTTTCCTCAACCGTAAAATGGGAATAATAATCCCTCTCTCTGAAGGCTGGTAATGAGCCCTTGGAAACAGTAAACTCCTCTGTAACCTGTAAAGCACCATGCCCGTGTGAGTGGAGTACCAGAGATATGGTGGGAGGCGCGGGGCAGGACGTGGATCCATCGCTCACCTCCAGCCCTGTCTCTAGCTCAGCCTCCACCTCCCCCCAAGAGTCACCGGACATTCCTGGAGCCTGGCCTTCTGTACGTCGAGAAATGGCTTCAGCCTGCGGAGCCTTTACAGGCAGATGGAAGGCCACAGTGGGCCAGTGCTGCTGGTGCTGAGGGACCAGGATGGGCAGGTGAGCTGGGCCAGGGCCCCAACTTGAAGTTCTGGGGGTGCCCAACCACCACAGTGGGCCCTGCCCCAGGGCAGCCTCAGGGGCTAGAGGCAGAGGTGATAGCCCAAGTCACTTATAATGGACACTGATGATGACATTGACACCTACATTGCTCAGAGCCATTCCTTCCCCCCTTCGTTCCCTAATTCATCCTTTCAACACGTGTATACTAAGCACCTTCTCTGTGCCAGCTTAAACGCGGACTAGACCAACGTCAGGACAGAAGTGGTTCCAGCCCTCTTGGAGCTACAGGCCTAATAGGGAGGCAGGGTCAGGAGTTAAGCAAATAACTAGGAAGACATTTTAAGTGGGGTATCTATGCCTTAATGATCCATTTACGCTTTGAAAACATCCCCCTGCTGGTGGGAGAATGGATTAGAGGGGCTAAGAGAAAGCCGGCCAGTGAGGAGGCAGCCACAGGAAGCGCCTGCATTTCACAGCAGGGACCTGGGGAGGGCGCTGTCTCAAATCCAGGTGGTCTCACCAAGAGGGGATTTCTGGCAGGCTCTCTAGACGGGGTAGTGGAGAGGATAAAAGCTGGTTTCAACTGCTCTTCTGTGGAAGGAACATGTTAGAGCTGGGAGGGATCTCATGGGTCTCTGAGGACCCTCACGTAGGCAGGAGTTCCTAACATCCTCAAGATGCTGATCCAGGACTTTCCACCTCAAGGCCAGAGAGCTCACTTCTTCAGGATGGAGCCCCTTGGCTGAATGCCAGTGACTAGGAGGAAGTTGTTCCTTATGTTAAGTCAAAACCTACTCCCCATGGCTGCCTCCCAATGATCCTGCCTCTGCCCCTCAACACAGTGTATGAGAGTGAAAACCTGCAGTCCACCAACTATTCCACAAGGGGAAAATGGCTAAGTGAGCTATGGTCCCGCTACATAGTGACATATTGCCAAGGGCTGGTAAGAAAAATGATGTAGAGTCATAGCTATTAAAAGTGTGAAGGTTTTGTTTTCATTTTTTTATTTTTTAAGATTTTATTTTTATTTGTTAAGTAATCTCTACACCCAATGTGGGGCTTGAACTCACAACCCTGAGATCAAGAGCTGCGTGCTCCACCCATTGAGCCAGCCAGGTGCCCCAAGTTTGTTTGTTTGTTTGTTTGTTTTAATGTTTATTTATTTTTGAAAGAGAGACAGAGACAGAGAGAGAGAGAGAAAGTAGGGGAGGGGCAGAGAGAGGGAGAGAGAGAATCCCAAGCAGGTTCTGTGTTGCCATAAGCCCGATGCAGGGCTTGAGCTCATGAACTGTGAGATCATGCCCTGAGCTGAAATCAAGAGTCGGACGCCTAACCAACTGAGTCACCCAGGCACCCCTCAAGTTTTTGTTTAAATTTTTTTTTAATGTTTATTTATTTATTTATTTATTTTAACATGTATTCATTTTTGAAAGGCAGAGAGAGACAGAGCGCGAATGGGAGAGGGGCAGAGAGAGAGGGAGACACAGAATCCAAAGCAGGCTCCAGGCTCCGAGCTGTCAGCACAGAGCCTGACGCGGGGCTTGAACTCATGGACCGTGAGATCATGACCTGAGCCGAAGTCGGACACTTAACCGACTGAGCCACCCAGACACCCCATAAATGTTTATTTATTTTTGACGCAAAGAGAGACACACACACAGAGTACAAGCAGAGAGGGGCAGAGAGAGAGGGAGACACAGAATCTGAAGTAGGCTCCAGGCTCCAAGCTGTCAGCACAGGGCCTGACGCGGGGCTTGAACCCACGAACTGTGAGATCATGGCCTGAACCGAAGTCGGACACCCAACCGACTGAGCCACCCAGGTGCCCCCCAAGTTTTTGTTTGTAAAGCAGGATATGAAAGGCACTCTTGGGCCAGTGGAGAAAATGTATTATGAACTGGATACTAGATAATATTATGAAATTGCTGTTAATTTTATTAGGTGAGATGATAGTATTGTGGTTATACATAAGAAGGTCCCCATTCTTGGAGCTGAACTATTTAGGGGTAAAAGGTTATAATACCTACAATTTCAAACAGGACACCAAAAAAATATAAGGAGAGAGAAAGCAAGTATGGCAAACACATTTACAGTTTTAAACCCTCATGGAGGGTAACCTGTGCCGGACTTTTACTTTTTTTGGATGTTTGGACTTTTATGAAGAAAAGTGAAGGGGGGAGGCAGCTTACAAAACAATGTGCAGGGTGCCCGGTTGGCTCATTTGAAAGAGCATGTGACTCTTGATATCAGGGCCATGAGTTCACATCCCACGTTGGGTGTAGAAATTACCTAAATAAATAAAACTTAAAAAAAACACACAAAACAGATGCACTATAGGATCTGGTTTTCTGTATAAGAATACGCACACTGGTATTAAACAGATGCTGGGAGGAAATGCACAAAAATGTTAAGAATAGTTATCTTGGGGAGCAGAGGGGGATTTGGGATGGCTTCATTTTTTCTTTCTGCTTGTCTATAACTTCTAATACTTTTCTACAAGGATTACTTATACAAAATAAGTACATTTAAGAAAAAGGAGGAGGACACCAGCAAGGGCTCTTTCTTGGGGAGTGTTAAGCGAAGGGACACACTGATGGGCTCTGGGGCCCTCTCCATCCCCCAGCTCTGTCCCAGGCTCCCCAGGGGCCCTACTAGGATGAGCCTGTATTACCAAGCCTGGAGAGCGGGGTTGCCAGAGGACCTCCACTCCCTTCCAGCTGCAACTTCAAGCTCTTCTGCTTTCCAGATGTTTGGGGCCTTCTCCTCCTCGGCTCTTCGACTCAGCAAAGGCTTCTATGGTACTGGAGAGACATTCCTCTTCTCCTTCTCCCCACAGCTGAAGGTAATATTCCCAACCTTCTAGAGAGGGGGGAAGGAGGACTTATGACAAAGATCCTGGGGTCCTACTGGACAGATCCCAGATCCGTTCCCTATGCTGGGATGCCTGGTATCCATCTATCTTTCCCAGAAGGCAGTGGTGGGCAGTGCGTTGCCCAGTTTCATTTCTTAAAAGGGCTCAGTAGATCCCTGGCAGCCACGGACTGGCTCAGAGAGGAAAAGGCGTGTTGCTCACCAGATGCAGGCTGCAAAGACAAGATGGGTCCAAGTGCAGGTAGATCTGTGGGTGTACAGGTAGGAAGACGAAGACATCCGATGACTTCAGTCTTCTTATGAAGTGTGGGGTGAGGTCATCAACTAAGAGTGAGGATGGAGAAGTGTGAAGGTTGAGCAGAGAGAAAGTATCAAGTTGTCATCACAGGAGTGGAGAGGGAGGCCTGTGAGAGAGAACCAGACAAGCATAAGGACAGCTACGTAGCATTAACTGGAGGTGGGGAGTGTCAGTGTAAAGGCAAGCCGGTCACTTGGGCACGTGTTTTCCTCCAGCTGCATTCAGGTCCTCGGGTTGAGGCATGGACAGAGTCCTTGGGAGGGCTCATCCAGGATGGGACTTTGGCCAAGCTGGTTTGACGGAGGGAGAGAGGGAAGCAGAAGTTGAAGGGAGTGAAAATACAAAATGGACCACAGAACCTACAGGATCGGTGGGGGAAGGGAAGCCAGGGAAGCGGAAGGACAATGAGGCAAAGATGAAAACAACAGATGAGAAGTGGCCTTGAGGTCAGAGACTTGGGGCAATGACACAAGTGGGACAGTGTGTTGGAATATAAGACACAGAGCGAGGGACGTTGGAAACAGACTGGTAAGGTTCCTGGCTGTGACCGTAAGGGACAGTGGCTGAGGTGCGTATAAGGAAAGCCCTTGAGAGGAAGAGGAGAGGAGCTGAGGGCAGCCATTGGATGGGTCCGTGTGGATGGCAAAGTTTGCCAAAGACAAAGGCAGAAATTAGGAAGGAGGAGAGGATGGTGAGCCAGAGCTCATGCCTCTAATTAATGGTGACTGGTGACTAGGAGGTGGGTGACCGGCAGAGACAAGATGACTGGTGTCGTCATATGGCACTTGCTGCCAGAGAGCAGGGCTTTTGAAGGAGGAAGGGGAATTGTCCCCAACCCCTCCCATCTAAAGCTTTTCCATCTCTGGGCTATTTAGTGAACAAAACTACTTAGCACTGCATGCCCGGCATGAAAGACGACACTACCTTAAAAAAAATTTTTTTTTTTTAATGTTCATTTATTTTTGAGAGAGAGAGAGAGAGAAACAGAGTGCGAGTGGCAGAGAGGCAGAGAGAAAAGGAGACACAGAATCCGAAGCAGGCTCCAGGCTCTGAGCTGTCAGCCCAGATTAGTTTCTAATCTCATTTCACAAATTCGTGCATTCGATTGACAACATTCCTATGAGGTACATACTATTATCAGCACCATCTTACAGTTGAGGAAACTGAGGCACAGAGAGGTTGAGTCACTTGCTCAACCTCACACAGCCAGTCGGTAGTGAGGATGCGATGCAGGAACAGGCCCCGGAGCTTGAAACTCAGCCACAGCACTACACTACCTCTCTAAATGTCCGAAGTTCTCTGCCCTGAGATGCTCTCAGGCTTGCAGAGGAGAGATGAGTACAATCTAGAGTGATCAGTGCTGTGGAAGACACCCCAAGGAGAAGCACATGGATGAAGTGGAGGTGGGGAGATCAAAGGAGACTTCCCAGAGGAGGAGCTTCTTGCATCGCGTCTTGATGGACAAACAGAAGATCACCAGGTGATGGAGGGCATAGGGAAAAGTCTTCTTGGAGCACGTGCAAAGGCACAGTAATTGGAAAGAAGGCAATGCCCATTTAGGAACCCAACAGGCGAATGGGTAGGGGGTCAGAGTGTGAGGGAGGGCATAGCCCTCTGCGTTGGCATAGCATGCCCTCATGAAATATTTGTTCAGTGGAAAAAAAAAAAAGAAAGAAAGAAATAATTTGTTCAGTGGATAAAGAACCAGTTCCAAGTGTTTTTGTTTGCTGTTAGAGATCTCTCCTCCCATGAATGGACCGAGAACCTACACATATACTCAGCGATTACTTGATCACATGACAAGTAGGTCACAAGGAGCTCTGGACTCCTTGCTAAAGGCAAAACACACTCTATCTATTGCATTGCCTCTATCAGCCAGCCTGGTACTCTTTCCAGGAAACAGGAAAGGGGTCTGCAGTTCACAGTAAACCCATGCTGGATTCTAATTACTACTTGCCTTCCTGTATTCACATGCTAGAATTCTAAAGTTCTAGGATTTTCCTCCTGTTGCACTGATAACTCCTTGTCAGAATCCTTTGCTGGCTCCTCCTCTCCCAAACCTTTTAACATCACAGGGGCCCAGAACTCAGTTTTTGGTTCTTGACTCTTGTCTACCCTTGTTTCTTTCAATGTCTCGTCCATTCTCACTGCTTTCCATGCCATCCATGTACTGATGAATTCTGCCCCTGGACTCCAAACTGACATATATCCAACTAGTACCCAGCATTTCTGCTTGGACCTCCGACATGGCATTGCGAGCCTCACCTGTCCAAAACCGAGCTCCTGACTTTCCCGCTAAAATCGACTCGTCCTGCCAGCTTCCCCAGTGAAGTTAATGGCACCTCCATGTTTTCTGCTACTGAGACCAAAAATTTTTGAGTCCTTGACTCCTCTCTGTCACATCCTACGTCTGAGCTGTCAGTGAATCCTGATGGCTCTGCTTTCTCTGTCTGTATTCAGAACCCACCACTTCTCACCATGTCCTTTGCTGTCACCTGCTTCAAGCCACCATCATTACTTGTCCTTGTTCCTGCTATAGCCTCCTCACAGGTCTCTCTGCTTCCACCTCAGTCATCACAATACCTAGAGTGTTCCTTTTAAAAAGGTAAGTCAGAGCATCTCACTCTTTGGCTTCAACCTGCCAATGGCTTCCTTTCTTGGAGAAAAGCTGAAGTCTTTATAATAACCTGTAAGTCCTACATTTTCTGGCCTCTCTCTTATGTTGTTTCTTGCTGTTTTTCCTTTCCCTCACTCTGCTCTAGCCACAATGAGCTCTGAGCTGGTCCTTAAACATGCAAGCCTGCTCCCACCTCGGGGCCTTTGCACATGCTGTTCTGCCTAGCTTGCCTTCTACTGGATCACCACATGGCTCAGCTCTCACCTCCTTTAGGATTCTGCTCAAATGTCATTATCACAGAGAGGCCCTCTGTGACCAACTAATTTAAATTTACAACATTCTATTCCTTGGAAACCCTTTTTTGTCCTTATCTACTTTTTTATCCTTAGCATTTGTCACCACCTAGCATATTTTACTTAGTTACCTGCCCCTGCCTGCTAGAATGGGAGTCCCGTGAGGGCAAGAAATTCTATCTATTATAGTCACCATTTTACCCAGAACATAAAACAGTGCCTGGTACTAAATGCTTTAAAAATTTTGTTGAATGAAATGAATTTTTTTTTTACAGGGGCTGTCTTCACAGTCTCCTGCCATGGAATCCTGTTTTTTTAAAACCTGGGTAATCTTTACCTACCTTTGGTCGTTTGGCACCTCTTGTGTTCTTTATGAATTCCCAGTGGCTCCTTGATGGTGATTCCAAACAGCCCATGAACATGGTCTTAGTTTCTTCTGTACCAATGTTTATCTTACTCCTTCAAGTCTGAAGGTCACATTCTTCGATGAAAGTAGAGGAGGAATTGAATGGTTCTGTCTTCTCATGGTCACTTGTTAATATTATCTCACCTCTTCTGAGCCCACGCTTATTTTTATTAATCTATTTTCTTGCTAAAAACCCTTTGGTTGCTCATAGACTATTTTCAACAACTAATTTCAGGCCATAATATGCTATACCTTTGTGGCTCTCTAAAAATATTTTTATTAGCCAAATTGACTCTTGAATAATTCATTCATTCAACAGATATCTATGTCATGTCTTGGGAATACTGCTGGGAATCAAGACAGCCCTCACAGAGCTTACATGTTAGTGGGGCAGGCATTGGGACATTGGCATATGGAGAGGGTCACCTCAAAGGGTGGTCAATGCTGAGGAAAAGGACACAGGGTGTGGGAGGAAGGGCTACTTTAGACAGGGTGATCCAGGAAACTTCTCTGGGATGACATTTGGTCTGAAAGATGAGAAGTGGGCCAATTAAGGATCTGGGGGAAGAGCATTCTCAGTAGAGGGGTCAGCAAGTGTGAAGGTCGTAAAGCAGGAATAGCTCTGGGTATCCCAGGGACAGCAAGGCAAGGGTAGCTGAAGTGTGGTCAATAAGGGGGAGAAGAGGTCAGAGAGGAAAGCAGGGATCTGCTATCCTGCTGAAAGGATATCCTGCTGAAACCTGGGCTGTCAGCTCTAGCCAGGAGTTGGATTTTATTCCCATTGCAATGGGCAGGCCTTGGAGGCTTTAGGCAGAGGAATACTATCCGATCACATTTCTGTGTGAAGATGGGCTGTGGGCGGGTGACTGTGGAAGCAGGGATGCTTTAGGAGGCTGTGAGTGAGTGAGGAGTGACTGTGGTGTGGATTGGGTGGGCAAGAGTGGAGAAGGACAGGACAGAAATGGGAGTAGTCTGGGTGTCTCTTTGGGGTGGGGCCCACAAGACTTGCCGAGGAACGGGAGTGTGAGGCAGCACAGGGAAGGCTGCAGTGAGAGATGAGCAGTGGATGGCAGGATCAGGGCCCAACTCCTGACCTGGACCTTCCCCCTCCTCTCTCCATGTGGAAATAGGATGCTTCAGAGAGTTCTGGTCTGCCCTAGAACAGACGGGCTTTGGGTTGTGGGAATTCAGACCGGAAGGCAAAAGGAGGTGAGCCCCCTTGGGGAAAAATGTAAAGAAATCTCAAGAGTCTAGGGGCCAGGGGTACTTCCTATTGTTTAGCTGGGGCTTGGGCCTGGATGTTCTGTTCCGTCCACGATGGAACGACTGCCCCCCAGTGGTGTGGAGTCAAACTGCAAGGGCAGGACTCTTCCAGTAATCTCGCATTTCCTGTCACCCCAGGTCTTCAAGTGGACAGGAAGGAATTCTTTCTTTGTGAAAGGAGACTTGGATTCACTGATGATGGGCAGTGGCAGGTGCGTGTCTCAGTCTTCCCCGACTCTGGAGTCTGGGGGTAGTCTGTGTTCTGGTCCCTCTCCCATCCGGAAGGAAATACTGGGCAAGGCTGCCCCAGACAAAATGAGGCTGGTGGTTAACTTCCAGGCCTCTCCCTTCAACACTTCCCAGGTGCTGCCCAGTCTCCCAGCCAAACCCGTCAAACCTACTTTAAGTAAACACCGAGAGGAAAGAATGGCATGTGTTTATAGTCGGTGACAGCCTAGTCTGAATGTATATGATTTGGGGAACAGCATTCCGCATGTTCAGATGAGGCTGGAGTCCAGGGATAGGTGAGCCTTACATGTGCCTGTCAGCCCCATAATCTCAGGGAACATCGGGGGAAGGCAGGCCTCTGCCCAGGAACCCAGCATGCGAGCGTGCATGCTGAGGGGGATGAGTAGATTAGAAAGAAGAGGTTAGTCTTACCCCTGGTGAGAACTCCACATTCAGGCAGAGTAAAATCTTACCCTGGGGGCAAAGATGAGAGCATTGTCGGATTAGTAGCAAATTCTTTGCTCTCCCAACTGCCTGAAGAGCCCCCCCCCCCCCAAGCCGGCTTGGAGGAGAACACAGCAGCCATTGCTGATTTGCAATCGGTAGCCCACTTTCCAGCCCCAGCCTGGTTTGCTGTCAAATGAGGGGATCAGAACGAATGCTTTCTGATGTGTTTTGGGGGTTGAGTCCATGCCTTAAGATTCACTCCTTTGGTTAAGCATTACCATCTTTAAAATGTTCCACATGTTCTAAACCCGGACTGTGGCGATGGTTATACCACTGTGTATGTTTATTAAAATAACTTAACTGTAAAAAAAAAAAATGCTCTAAGCCCTATGGGGAACAACATGTGGAGTTCCCAACAACTCTGGATAAATCGGCTTAAGGGAAGATGAGATAGTCAAAACAGAGCTGTGGTCATGGTGTGGCCAAAGGCTGATGGTGAGGATCTGGAAGGTCAACCTCCAGGAGTGAGCCATGCCAAGATTTTCCTCTTCTTTTTAGTGGCCAGTTTGGACTGTGGTTGGATGGAGACTTGTATCACGGCGGAAGCCACCCCTGTGCAACCTTCAACAATGAGGTGTTGGCCCGGCGAGAGCAGTTCTGCATCAAGGAACTGGAGGCCTGGGTCCTGAGCGGATGCCCCCATCGTGGGAAGCTTCCTGAAGCAACCAGTGCTCACACTTGCTCATGAATGCCATCTAGACCCTCCTTATAGAGGGCTGCCCATTTTCTCTGAAGCCTGGGTGACTGTGGTTGTAAGCAAACCTCCCTGTGGTCTGGGGACCCAAGACAGTCATGGAAACAAGCAATATTCTCCTGGGGATGTGACTCTGAAAGAGTGAAATGCACTCACATCTCATCTGAGCAGCACAAAGTCCCTCATGAAATTTCTTTTTATGTATTTATTAGGTAGGCTCCATGCCCATCACAGGGTTCAAACTCACAACCCCGAGATCAAGAGTTGCATGTTCCACCGACTGAGCCACCCAGGTGCCCCCTGAAATTTCTTTTTAGAGATTATACAATTAATACATGTTTATTGTAGAAAAACCAGAAGACATTTAAAAAGTTAAAACTGCCTAGGGCGCCTGGGTAGCTCAGCCAGTTAAGCGTCGACTTCAGCTCAGGTCATGATCTCATGGTTTCATGAGTTTGAGCCCCGAATCGGGCTCTATGCCGACAGTCCGGAGGCTCAGAGCCTGGAGCCTGCTTCAGATTCTCTGCCCCTCCCCTACTCACACTCTGTCTCGCTCTCTCTTTCAAAAATAAACAAACATTAAAAAAAATTTTTTTTTAAATTAAAACTGCCTACAATTCAACCACCCCCCAAATCACGAACATTCTAGGCAATGGATATATACATCTTACAAAAATGGGATTCTATTCTGTATGCTTTAAAAATTATTTATGGGGCGCCTGGGTGGCGCAGTCGGTTGAGCGTCCGACTTCAGCTCAGGTCACGATCTCGCAGTCCGGGAGTTCGAGCCCCGCGTCAGGCTCTGGGCTGATGGCTCGGAGCCTGGAGCCTGTTTCCGATTCTGTGTCTCCCCCTCTCTCTCTGCCCCTCCCCCGTTCATGCTCTGTCTCTCTCTCTGTCCCAAAAATAAATAAACGTTGAAAAAAAAATTTTTTTTTTTAAAAATAAAAAAAAAAATTATTTTAACACCTGGGCTCAACTGGTGAAACTAAGAAAGACTCCAGTAGCATGTTCCTTTTTCTAGAACATTGAGGGCTTTCTGCCTGCCGTCAGTGTGCCAGGTGCTTGCAAGTCTCTAATTTCATGAGGAAGATGGGAAAGCAGCGAATGAACAATATGCCTATGTGGATAAAGAAGTTGAATCTCTGGGGCAGGTGGAAAAGGAGGAAAGATACGCTTCCTGTCCCAAGAGCTCAGTAAATGAAGAAACATCCAGGGGCACCTGGGTGGCTCAGCTGGTTAAACGTCCGACTTCGGCTCAGGTCACGGTCTCACCGTTTGTGGGTTTGAGCCTTGCTTCTGGCTCTGGGCTAACAGCTCAGAGGCTGGAGCCTGCTTTGGATTCTGTGTCTCCGTCTCTCTCTGCCCCTCCCCCACTCGCACTCTGTCTGTCTCTCTCAAAAATAAAGATTAAAAAAAAAAAAAAAAAAGAAGAAGAAACATCCATATTTCTTCCTCCTGTCAGAAAACCAGATGACATAAGCCCTGTTAAATATCATCCCCTCTCTTGCAAACCCAACACAGTGTTGAAACATTTGGGTAGATTCCTAGACACATTTCCTTCGTACAAAAGGGTCCAAACTGGGCACATAAGAGAATGTCATGAAGGAAAACACCTTTGGTTTCAAGATGAAGATACATTCATGAAGCTTTATTGCATCTGTTTCCCTCACCCAAATGAAGTAACCAGTCATTTAAACTTGCAGTTCTTACTTAACATTCTCAAGGTGACAAAAGTTCAGTAAGTCTAGAGGTTAAGTTGTTAAAACCTCAGTTTTTATACAAATAGTGAAGGCGCTTCTTAAGAAAAATTTAACCTTGTAAATGGCACATGGTTCTGATAATTAAAACAGTTGCAAAGAGCATAAAGTGCAGCGGACTTATATGTAAAGGATGCAAACAAAATAGATTCAAGTTATTTCTCAGCAAAATGATACAATATTGAAACTAAAAAAATTCCAGAGTAAACCACAATGATTTAAAGGTAAGAGTTGCAGAAATAAAACAATCTTAGCAGAAAAACATCACATTCTTGACCTTGGATCTGGATACACTAAGTCTGAGCCCTATAGTTCTCCCCCACTGAATGTTTTAGGGGTACCTTGGCCAAAACAGATGTGACCCAGGACCAGGGCTGATTTCACTTGTGCTTCTAGGAGCCCACATGTCCGCATATCCCCACCTACACAGCACTATGGTGGAGGAGCTGGGAAGGGTTTTAATTATTCTCCTATGAATGAGGGTCAACTCTTGATCATCTGCTGGGGGGTGGAGGAGGGTGGTGGTGGTAATACAGAATGGCAGACATTCCTAATACTTTTCACCCTAGGGTCAACAGAACAGAACCTGGTTACAGAGTGGAAGGTTACAGCACTCTAAGACTGTGGATAATGTACCGGCCTGTGGTCTGAGTTCCTCCTTTCCTCCCACTTACTCTTGCCCAGAGCCAGGGCTGGCCCCCCAATCCCAGGCTGCTGTGGAGGCTTTTGTAAGGGAGTGTCTATAGCATAAGATAAGGACTTTTATAACTATAGCAAAGTTAAGGACTTTGACTCCCATTCCCCACTGCCCTGCATCTACAGGACCCTCTGGCTACCACCAGCATTGGCTCTAACTCCAGATTTTACTCCTGGTGAATTTCTGCAGAACTGGCAATTGCGTGTATATGGAGGTGGGGATGGGTGCCCTCTGCACAGACTCGCTCAACCACAGTGGTGCACAGGAGGTAAAGAACAAGCGTGGGGTATACTGGGCTACAAAGGGGGACCTGGAATTCTGGGGATAATCACTCATCTCATCCCAAGCAGCTCAGTCTTTGCTCTGAAATTCGTAACATGCACATTGAGCCAGCAACAACAAAGTCCCAGCTCTGAGTAGCCCTCAGAAAGGCTCCTATGACAACCTTTGATCAGCTCACAAGGGAAATTCAGAGAGAAGGCCGGAGGGGAGCCTTCTCCAGGCTGAGCAGTGATCGTGAAAAAGACCTCGGGACATCGGTAGTGAGTAATCAGGACGAAGAAACCGCCCGGGTCTGGAGCTGCATGCAACTGACCCAGAGAACAGCCTGGTTTGGGGGAATCCCTCTGCCACTGGGGGTAGGGGTCTCCTGAGAGGCAGTCTTATGTCCCATTTCAGAGGGGGCCAGAGCCCTCAGATATTTCTAATAAATTAATCAGGACTCTCACCCAAGAGGTGGAACTCACTCGTCACCCTCATCTACTGTCTAGTCCAACCTGGCTAAAAGGGTGAGGGAAGGTGTTTCACTAATATTTAGATCACTTAAGAAGAATTTTCCTCAAATTCAAGGTGATGGGTACCTCCTCAAGGGGCTAGGATTTTATGTTTTGTTCTTAACCATGGCTGTTTATGACAATCCCAACTTCATACTTCAATGTGCACTTTATCTCATTTCCAAACTTAAAAAAAAACCCAAAAAACAATCATTATGTCATAAGAGTTCAGAGTACATAAAAAAAATATTATTCTAAGAGAATAGACTACAAAGAGAGGCTTTAGTTAATGTTAAAATAGGCAAGGTCATGCTTTCCATATAGCATGTACAGCCAGAGCTGTCTAACACCTTTTTGTTTCTTCGGATAAAAATTACTTAGCTTCAGCATGGGTGTACATTCAAAATGTAAAATGCACTCGTTGTCACAAATTTGTAGAGTTCATGACCGAATTTCCTAAATTAGCTAATACTGTTGGGGGATGGGGAAGAGGACTTTATGTAAACTATCGGTTGCAAACATTCACACAGAGTCATCTGGAAAAAGCCGGGTTTTAAATTTGGACACTTTTTGTAAGTGATCTGGGCTCTGGGCTGAATCCGGGTTCTTCCACTCCTCTTTTCGAGGTGTTATAAGTGGAGCCACAACATCACTATCCTGTCAAGAAAAGAAAAACCAGGAACAAATAAAATCCAGTTTTCATAATTTTGAGGAAATCCTTAGGTACACATATCCTTGTCTTGCAGACAGATTGCTTCTAGACGAATATACTCTTGGGAAACCCCAAATTATATATATGCCCTGTGCTTAGGTCCAATTAGAAACACCGCAGTCCTAAGCAGGTAAGAGCCTTTGTAGAAAAAGCTAACAGACCTATTCTTTTCAAAGATGACCAAAAGCAACACCCTCCCCCATTCTATGACCCTCTCCCTTCATACACTTTCATGAAACACAAACTTGGTTTTTCCAGGAAAGAGGGACTTCACTGGGTCCCTGCTCCTCTCTTGCTTACTCCCCTCTGCAGTAGATGGTCCTGGTCTACAAGAGGCCCAAAAGGGGGAAGGACAGGGGTGTCTAAGTGTCCTACTTCAGCTCAGGTCATGATCTTGCAGTCCATGAGTTTGAGCCCTGCGTCAGGCTCTGTGCTGACAGCTCAGACCCTGGAGCCTGCTTTGGATTCTGTGTCTCCCTCTCTCTCTGCCCCTGCCCCACTCACGCTCTCTCTTGAAAATGAATAAACGATAAAAAAAAATTTTTTTAAGGGGGGGTAAGGGCAATTTATATGTGCAGAACTTGAACTTTTTCCTGCAAAGTTTTAAGTTTGGCCCATCAGCATAGATTCCACTGTAGATTCCATCAGCATAGATTCCATTCCATGAGGAATGACCTCAAAGTGAAGTGACACTATGACTTGAAAGAAATGAGTGTAAGAAGGCCCTCTAAGACCTGACTATCCTAAACTGTTCTTGAACTTGTGCATAGATTCTCTTAGGGTGTATGAGGGTTCAGGAACTCTGAGAGCCTTTACTGCACTAGGAATACAATGTCTGGGTAGAATACATGCTCTTCATTTGCACCTGTGCTCTCAGATCCACTTTTCACCTTTCTGCTGCTCTACTCTATGTAACAGGAGCTGCTTTTTTTTTTTTTTTTAATGCTTATTTATTTTTGAGAGAGAGAGACAGAGCATGAAGGGGGGAGGGCCAGAGACAGAGGGAGCTGTCAGCACAGAGCCTGATGCGGGGCTTGAACTCACAAACCGCGAGATCATGACGTGCGCCAAAGTCAGACACTTAGCCGACTGAGCTACCTTAACAGGAGCTCCTCTTATAAAGTATGTTTCCCAGGTCCCCTGCCTACTGGCTTTTGGTTAGGTTTGGCCAAAGGGGGGCACAGGTGGAAGACTGGAAGGGAGGAGGACAGAGAAGTGAGGGTATTACTCCCCTGAACCCGTGACTCTTCTGTGGTTCTAGCTTCTGCAGGTGGCCCCAAGACCTGGGCTCCCACCTCCACCCCCAGAGGCGGTAGCAGCTTCCTGCTGTTGTCTCACTATCCTCTGCTCATTTAGCTCTGCCAAAGCTTCTGTATCTTGTCTCCGCTATTAAATTTGTCAAACTACTCTGGATCTGACTTGATAGAGCAACTAAAAGCGGCCATTTAATTGCCATGATACTCCTATCTGGAAGATCTTATAGTACAAGGTCAACATTATTTGCCTTCAAATTCATCTCTATTTCTACCAAGGATCCTTATTTCTACCCATTCTAGTTTTGACTCTAGTGAATTTTATAAATACAAACTTGAATGTCACTCTCGTGCTTAAAACACTTCAATGGCTTCCATTGCTCTTGGCCCACAAGACTATGCAAGATCCCATGGACCCCTCCCTGAATGCACTATGTTCTTGATCATCTTCTGGCCTCCCCCCTTCACCCCCCTTACCCAGGTGACTCCTCATCCATCCTTCAGGTCTCACCTTCTAAATCCTTCTTAAAATAAGCTTTTACCAACCAACCAAGTGTGGCTTAAATCCTTCTTCTTTTGGCTCATCTAAGACTCTGTACACACTGTGCCCCACCCCAAAGCACTTACCACACCACTGTAATTGTTATTTACTGGTGCGTCTATTAACAGAGTGTGATCCGTGGAACTATGTCTGTCTTAGATACTGTTCCATCTCTGCCACCTAACATAGGACCTAGCGAAAATCCTCATTCAAGGAATGAATGTATCTAGTTTTAAAGTAGTTATCGCCACATAGCTGAACTTCAATAGCTTTTGGTCTCTCTAATTCTAGTCTCTCCTAGTTCCAATCCATCTGCTGCTGGAGTTTTCTTCCTTAATGTTTATTTATTTTTGAGACAGAGAGAGAGAGAGAGAGAGAGAGAGAGAGAGAGAGTGTGTGTGTGTGTGTGTGTGTGTGTGTGTGTGTGTGTGTGTGAGCAGGAGAGGGGCAGAGAGATGGAGAGAGAGAATCCCAAGCAGACTCCACGGGGTCACCACAGAGCCCACCCCAGGGCCTGAACTCACAAAACATGAGATCATGACTTGAGCTGAAACCAAGAGTCAGATGCTTAACTGACTGAGCCACCCAGGTGCCCCTAAAGATTTTTTAAATTATTTAATTAATTAATTAAAATGTTTATTTTTTTTTGAGAGACAGAAAGAGAGAGTGTGAGCATGCGAGAGGGGTGGGTAGAGAGAGAGGGAGACAGAGAATCCCAAGCAGGCTCCATGCTGTCAGTGCAGAGCCTGACGTGGGGCTCAAGCCCATGAACCTGAGATCATGACCTGAGCCAATATCAAGAGATGGATGCTCAACCGAAAGAACCAGCCAGGCGCCCCTAAAGATTTTATTTTTAAGTAATTTCTACACCCAATGTGGGGCTTGAACTCATGACCAACTGACCAACTGACCAGCTTGAACTCACGCTCCACCAACTGAGCCAGCCGGGCACCCCTAAATGACTATCATTTAAATGAGAACTTTTCAGAGGAAAGTAAGGATCTCTTTAGGTTATTAATTAAAAACAGGAAATTGTGCAAAGTACATGAACAACAAACTACTCACCTGTGGCTTGGTGAAGTTTCTGATTAAGCACCAATGAACAAAGTACTGGTGTGCAGCAAACAAGCTCTTTGCATCAGTTTTCTTGCAGTATACGCGAATTAGCTGCTCTGCAAACCTCTCTGGCAAAAGCTCTGAAACCTTTTCAAAGAACAAAAGATTTCACTGTCATCTTGAATTCACACATTGAAGAGAGCTCAGCTGTTCCTAAGCTTCATTCTTTTTTTTTTTTTTTTTTTAAGATTTTAAGTAAACTGCACCCAACGTGGGGTTTGAACTCATGACCCCAAGATCAAGATTGCACACTCCAGGGGCGCCTGGGTAGCTCAGTCGGTTAAGCATCTGGCTTCGGTTCAGGTCATGATCTCCCAGTTCATGAGTTCGAGCCCTGTGTCAAGCTCTGTACTGACAGCTCAGAGCCTGAAGCCTGTTTCAGATTCTGTGTCTCCCTCTTTCTCTGCCCTCTCCCACTCACACTGTCTCTGTTTCAAAAACAAATAAACATTAAAAACTTAAAAACAAAAAAAAAGAAAAAGGAAAAAAAAAAAAGAGTTGCACACTCCAATGACCGAGCAAATCAGGCACCTCAACCTAAGCTCCATTTTTCATGTTATATTAAAAACACCACATTGTTTTGCTGTCTTATCCCAACTGTCATCCAAAGAAAAGAATTGAAGATAGTTGTCATATTGCAAAATGTCCCACAATTTTATATTATTAAGACTAAAAAAAGTTTGTATTATGTAATTATACGTAGATCAGATTCTCATTAGAAGATATGCAAATAAACACATTTAACTTACATGATGTCAACCATACACACTCCTTTCCCATCAGACTTATAACCTAGCCACCAAACCAAAAACAGTGCTTTCATCTATGTTTAGCTAACAGGAAAAACTGGCTGTTAAGATGATTTACACAAAAATCAGATATACTTTAATTTCAAAACTAATTTTTTTTTACTGTATACATTGACTTTAGGACCTAACCTGCATGTAAAATGCAGATTTATCATAAATTTGCCAAATGCCACTATAGTGTATTTATTTTGCCCAAGTAGTTACCTGATCTTTAGTAATCCTGACTGCTTTGCTGAGGTCACTCTTACAATAGAAGCGAACATGATCAATAGGATTCTTGTCTTCCATTCCATAATCCATGTTGATAACCTTAATAAAAGGAATACATTAGTAATCACTCACAGAACAATGAGAATTGAATCCAAGGTTGTAGGAGCGTCACAAAAAACGAAGCAGAGCTCTCTGGAGGTTCAGAAGTAAGAGCACTAATAAGGTAGCTCATAGTGGAATGAAAATAGCTCTGGTGCATGTGCCGTAGGGATGTGGTCTTGAAATCTGAGTGGGGTGGGGAAGATATTTGTGTTTTCAACATAAGGGGGGTATAAAGTCTGTACCCACTATGTGATAGCCACTATGGTACTACAGATTCAAGGAAACTCGATACAATCCCAACCCCACAGCACCATGTGGCCTAGACTGAGGTTGAACAAATGATTATAAATGTAATTATTGGGGCACCTGGGTGACTCAGTCGGTTAAGCCTCTGACTTTGACTCAGGTCATGATCTCAGTTCATGGGTTTGAGCCCAGCGTCAAGGTGTGCTGACAGCTCAGAGCCTGAAGCCTGCTTCAGATTCAGTGTCTCCCTCTCTCTCTCTGCCTCTCACGCACACGCGCTCCCTCTCTCTCTCAAAAATAAACATTAAAAAAAACTTTTTTAAGTAATTATCAAACTACATTTGTTACAAGAGCTACCAAGGAAAAGCAAAGGGTGCTGTCAAACTTTGTAACTGGGGAGCCTTGTGGTCTGGGGCTTTGGGGAATGACTAGCAGTGTTTCCTGGGAAAGTCACAGGAATGAACCAGGTCTAGGTAGAAAAGAAAAGAATTCCAGGCAGAAGAAAAAGCTCTGAGGCAGACAGGACTGAAACGGTGAGCTGGGTTAAGTAACATTGAAGTCACTGTTGATCTTGGAAGAATAGTTCTAGTATGGTGATGGCGACACACAAAATGTTTAGGAGTAAATGAGGAGTAAAAAAGAGAAGACAGGGCGGGTGCCTGGGGGGCTCAGTCGGTTAAGCATCCGACTTTGGCTCAGGTCAGGACCTCGCGGTTCATGAGTTCGAGCACCGAGTCGGGCTCTGTGCTGATGGCTTGGAGCCTGGAGCCGGCTTCAGATTCTGTATCTACCAACCTCCACTTGCCCCCCTGCCCCGCTCCTCCCTGTGCTCACTCTGTCTCTCTCAAAAATAATACATAAATGTTAAAAAAATTAAAAAAAAAAAAAAGAGAAGACAACTCCTAGAAGCTTGGCTGTTAAAAAGATGCAAGAAAGAAGAATATGGAGAGGAATATGGTACCTGGGAAAGGTAAAAGGGGGGTACTTTTCAAGGAGTTTGACAGGGGTGAAGGTGCGGTTTGTTTGTGTTTTAAGTTTGTTTATTATTTGAGAGACGTGTAGGCACACACAAGTTGGGGAGGGGCACAGAAAAAAGGAGAGAAAGAGAGAATCCCAAGCAGGCTCAATGCAGAGCCCAACGTGGGGCTTGATCCCACAAACCATGAGATCATGACCTGAGCTGAAATCAAGAGTTGGACGCTCAACTGACTGAGCCACCCAGGTGCCCCTGTTTGTTGTTTTCTCAAGATGAAAGTCTGTTTAACTGCTGATGGGAAAGTCAAAGAGACAGGAAAGAATGGATACTGTAAGGCTCCACAGAAGCGCTAAGACGAATGGCTCTATTGCCCAATGTGGCAGTCACTAGTCATAGGTGGATTTTTAATTTAAAGTCATCAACATTAAATACAATAAAAAATTTAGTTACTTAGTTGAGGTAGTCATGTTTCAAGTGCTGAACCTGTGGCTAGTGGCTACCAAAATGGACCACACAGTTATAGCCCGACACAGGGTTTGAACCCACGAACCGCGAAATCTTGACCTGAGCCTAAGTTGGATGCTTAACCAACTGAGCCACTGAGGCGCCCCTTTCCAAACTTTCTTTAATGAACATGTGCTGCTTTTATAATGGAAGTAGGGAGGCTTTATCTTAAAAAAAAAAAAATCTTTACTTAGTATATTTTTGGGCTAACTACTTACATCCACTATGAAGTCTTCAGCCTTTAGTTCAGTTTCTATCAAGATGTCCTTAGGTTTAGAATTAGCGAGATCTTCTGGAAGGCTTTTATAATTTTCCTAGAAAAGACAAGACTCCTTACATTAGAGCCCCTGTTTTTCATCATTAGTGTTTATGCCACAAAAGGTTCCCTCTCTAAAAATGGCACTTTACTAGAAAGAGTGGGTAGAGATACCCCTAACAAATACAGAGCTTCTAGCTTATGCCATCCTTCAAACACATCACAATAGAGTGATTCTCATAACAAAACTTCCACATTAAAAAAAAAAAATGTGGCATTGACTTAATAGGAGGAAAGTGTTATGAGGCAGGGTGTGGTAATCAGTGTGGCTCATGTTACTGGCTTTCCGGCAAACAGAAAAACCTTCCATCAGCAGGAGATGAAAACAGATATGGATATCTGGCATGCACCATCTGGGAGAACCTGATATAATATGAAAGAAGAAATTAGTAAACAGCAGGTCCTTCGCTTCTCAGTGAAGCCCATGCAGATACCTTATTTTGAGGCCCCATTCATTTTCTTGCCTTTAGATCTAGCCAAAATTTGGGGCACCCCCTCTCACTTCTGGGATGAGAGAATAAAGGTTTAGACTAAGACAGACTTGGGTTCAAATCCTAGCTCACTAACTGTGCTTCTGTAGGCAAGTTGTTTAATCTCTCCCAAGCTTCAGTTCCTTCATCTACAGGACCAAAGAACATGTTATTGATGAGATTAAGTGAAAATGAACATAGAGGGCTTAGAACAGAGTCATGATATTGTGATGGGTTAATGGCTTCCTTTTGGAGGTTTCCTCTCTTGGAAGAGAGACATCTTTCACCATTAACAACTCAACTTACCTTTTCAATTTTTGTTGTTCCTTTTGGTTTAGTCTCACCCACATACTTGTATAGATTACGGCATTCAATTTTTTTTAAAATCTCTCGTGCTGCATTCAGTTTGGGATCAGAAGAATATAAAATCTCCAGGAAAATGTTATCTGCCAATTTGATAAAATTTCAGGTATGTTAAGATGGGGACAAAAAAGGTTTAAAGACTCATACACCGCTGTACTTCTGAAAGGATTTTAAGTGGACATTTACAAATGTAAGCACAGTATAACATTCAATGTCTTGGATTTGCTTTAAGATAATCTAGTGCATGGGAAAGGGCATATAGAGATGGCTTAAGGTTGGGTGATGGGTAAATAGGGGTGTATTAATTTGTTGTTGTGCTTTATTTTCTTAAAGAGAATGATACTTAAGTAATTATAAAGTTATGTCTGAAATCTACTTCAAAAACAGACCAGTATTTTATGGGAGTGGGTGGATGGAGGGGATGAAGCAAAATTGCCATGTTAGTAATTGTTGCAGTCAAGTGATGGGTACATGGAATTTTGTATGTTTCATAATAAAAAGTTTTTTAAAGTTCCATGATGAAAGTAGAAGGTAGTTGTTTTTAAGATTTTATTTTATTTTTTAAGATTTTTTTTTTAAGTTTATTTATTTTGAGGGGCACCTGGGTGGCTTAGTCGGTTAAGCCTTCAACTTCGGCTCAGGTCATGATCTCCCAGTTTGTGAGTTCGAGCCCCACATCAGGCTGTGTGCTGACAGCTCAGAGCCTGGAGCTTGATTCTGTGTCTCCCTCTCTCTCTGCACCTTCCCTACTCATGCTCTGTTTCTCTCTCTCTCTCAAAAATAAATAAACATTAAAAAAATTGTTTTTAAATAAAAAATAAATTTAACATTCTATTATTCCAATTTAATTAAGATATTTTGGGGTAGAGGGCTTGCACTGGAAGGGAGGGAAGGGATAAGGTCCACTTATTTCCTAGGAATATTAAGGGAAAAAGACTAAAGTAAGAAAACGGTTCCCTAAGGCAGTGGTCATATGACATTTGCTATGTTTAAGACAGCCAACATCTAGGTAAGCTGAAACATTTATAGGCATTTTTATTTTATTTTAAAGTTTATTTTTTTTGAGAGAGACAGTATGAGCAGAGGAGGGTCAGAGAAAGGGAGAGAGAGAATCCCCAAGCAAGCAGGCTCTGGGCTATCAGTGCAGAGCCCAACTTGGAGCTCAATCCCAAGAACTGTAAGATCACGACCCGAGCTGAAATCAAGAGTTGGATGCTTAACCAGCTGAGCCACTGAGGCACCCCATAGGAATTTTTATAGGAATTTATAAGTAGGAATTTAGGAAGTAGAGAGGACAAATTATGACATATTCATAAAAGGAACTACTACTCGACAATAAAAAGGAATAAACTACTGATGCATGCAATCTAGATGAATCTCAGACATATAACACTAGGTAAAAGGAGCCCTACAGAGATGAGTACACCTGCCTGATTGCATTTATGTAAAAGTCTAGAACAGGGCGCCAGGCTGGCTCAGTTGGAAGAGCATGCGACTCTTTTTTTTTTTTTTTTTAATGTTTATTTAGTTTTTTGAGAGAGACAGAGTGTGAGCCAGGGGAGGGGCAGAGAGAGAAGGAGACACAGAATCTGAAACAGGCTCAGCTCAGAGCCTGACACGGGGCTCAAACTCACAAACTGTGAGATCACGACCTGAGCTGAAGTTGGACGCTCAACCGACTGAGCTACCCAGGTGCCCTGAGGATGTGACTCTTGATCGCAGGGTCATGAGTTTGAGCCCCATGTTGGGTGTAGAGATTACTAAAAATCAACAAACTTAAAAAAAAGTCTAGAACAGGCAAATAGTGGTTGTTTCTAGGTGTGGTGAGGGCAAGAACTGACTGGGATGAAGCATGAGGGAATTTCCTAAGGAGAAGATAATGTTCTGTATCTTGCATGTGTCAAAACATTAGCAAATGTACATAAAATGTGTGCATTTATACGAATTGTGTGTGCATTTTACATCAGAAGAAAAAAATCTATAAATTATTGTTGAACTTTAATCTTCATGCTAAAGGAGTTAGGGTAAAATGTACTGATCACTGCAATTTACTTAAAAATGCATCAAAACTGGGATGTCTGGGTGGTTCAGTCAGTCCGACTCTTGATTTCAGCTCAGGTCATGATCCCAGGGTCATGGGATTGATGCTCACATTGGGCTCTGCGCTGATCATGGAGCCTGCTTAAGATTCTTTCTTTCTCTCTCTCTCTCTCTCTCTCCGCCCCTCTTCCCAGCTCATACTCTCTCAAAAAGAAAAGAAAAGAAAAGAAAAGAAAAGAAAAGAAAAGAGAAAAAAAAAGGAAGAAAATGCATCAAAATTCAGATGGGTTAACGGACAGGATGGTAAGTGACAGACAAGTCATAGAGCAAGTTCAGTAAATGCTAGAACAGTACCGGTGTGGTGAGTGTATAAGTGTTCACTGTAAAATTCTTCCAACATTGCTGCAGGTTTCAACACTTCCCAGTAACATGTGGAAAAACATTCTTAAAAATTAAAAAACAGGGGCACCTTGGTGGTTCAGTCGGTTAAGCGTCCGATTTTGGCTCAGGTCATGATCTCGCAGGTCATGATCTCGCAGTTCATGAGTTCGAGCCCCACATCAGGCTCTCTGCTGTCAGCATGGAGCCCACTTCAGATCCTCTGTTCCTTCTCTGCCCCTCCCCAGCTGTGCTTGCTCTCTCTCTCTCTCATAAATAAAATAAACATTAAAAAAATTAAAAAACAAGAAGTGGAGACTTTTAGATAAAGTGAGTTGACTTTTGGAAAAGCAGCCAAGGTAAGGAAGGCTCACATGGTCCTATTCCTTCCAGGTTATGTAGTTAAGGCCAGTAAAGATTTTATGACTGCTCAAAATAATATGCAAGAAAGATAAGATTCTGGGTCTCAAATGATGAAAGCTGGAAAATCCATATGCTTATTCTACCATACTCTTGGCAGATAAAGCACAAAAATGTGACCTAACATTTTGTATAGGATTTTTGACATTAATACAATATCCAAGGGTATAACCAGTGGACTCATCTCATTGAACAGGGTAAAAGCTAGTTTGGGTATTATAGAACCTTCAGAGTGAGAGAGAGCTATGTATAGTCATGTAGTAAAACCACATTAGGGGGCGCCTGGGTGGCTCAGTTGATTAAGTATCATCACTGCTGTCAGTGTGGAGCCCGCTTTGGATCCTCTGTCTCCCACCCCCCTCAAAAATAAATAAACCTAAAAAAAAAAAAAAAAAAAAAAAAGACCAGGGGCTCCTGGGTGGCTGGGTAAAGCACCCGGCTTCAGCTCAGGTCATGATCTTGCAGTTTGTGGGTTCAAGCCCTGCATCAGGCTCTGTGCTGACAGCTCAGAGCTTGGAGCCTGCTTCGGAATCTGTCTCTCTCTCTCTCTCTCTCTCTCTCTCTCTCTCTGTTTCCTCTCTGCTTGTACTCTCTCTCTCAAAAATAAATAAATGTTAAAAAAATTAAAAAAACAAAGATCACATTAAACTGTATACTTTATGGTTTGTCACTTAACCCAAAAGTGTGTAAAATCCTGAATTCATTTCTTTTCATCAAAAGAAAGTTGAAATGTAATATAATGTTACAGGATAAATTGTTAGAACTAGCTTCTGATGATGAAGACTGAAGATTTTTTTTTTTAACGTTTATTTTTGAGAGACAGAGACAGAGTGCGAGCAGGAGAGGGGCAAAGAGAGAGGGAGACACAGAATCCGAAGCAGGCTCCAGGCTCTGAGCTGTCAGCACAGAGCCCCATGTGGGGCTCGAACTCACGGACCACGAGATCGTGACCTGGCTGAAGTCGGACGCTTAACCGACTGCGCCACCCAGGCGCCCCAAGATGACTTTTTAAATAGAGCATCACCTGCTTTGTTATGAACAAAAGTTAAAATATCCCCAGCTTGCTCAAACTGTTATGTAATCTCTTCTTCCATTCCTATCAACATAACAATGGGAGACTAGTATCTGCTATGATGTTTTTAAAACAAAACACAGAAACAATTTAGATACACATCATCCCTTGTGAGTGAAAGTGTCATCAATCCAATCTAGATTAATTAACCAGTAGGAAAATCACTTATTACATTATAAACTTTAAATATTGTTGTACACAACGTTCTGAGTGTGCACAAAGATATGTAATATGAGGAATCACTATTTAACTTCTAATTTTTGATTTACTTATGTTTGAAAAGTGACTAAAATATTCTAAGTCTAAAAGGGACTCTATATCACCTACATGTCTATTTTTAAAGAATAGTATATATTCTATAATACACTATAGTACACTATAATACATATAGTTTTTATTATTTAAATTTTTGTTTCTTTTGGTCATAGTTACTGAAATGTATGTTAAGTCTGTTAAACTCAATATGAAATATTTGGGCTCATATTTTGTATGTCCTGCCCACCCCCATATCATTCTCCTAGTAATCCATTTTCATTGTTTTACAAGGGTATCAATCTGCGAGTTGCTTGGCATGGAGAATGTTGGTTCTTCAAGACAGTTTCAGAGGCACCGGTGTGAGTCTTGTTCTGCAGACAGAACCCAGCAGTAGCATCACACACAGGAAGCTCATGGAAAGTGATCTCGGCTGCCTTAGCCCACTCAGCTTGGATTATTTTTGCTCATTTAAAAAACCTTCAGCCTTTCCACCGATTCTCTACAAGCTATGTGACTGCTTTCTAACTTTCTTTTTATTTAAATGATTTTTTTTCCACATTTATTTATTTTTGGGACAGAGAGAGACAGAGCATGAACGGGGGAGGGGCAGAGAGAGAGGGAGACACAGAATCGGAAACAGGCTCCAGGCTCTGAGCCATCAGCCCAGAGCCTGATGCGGGGCTCGAACTCCCGGACCTCGAGATCGTGACCTGGCTGAAGTCGGACGCTTAACCGACTGCGCCACCAGGCGCCCCTCTAACTTTCTTTTTAAACAGAGTCAGTTTCATGATCCGCCACGAACTCCAACTTTTGTGGTGTACTTTTGCTTTGCTCATCTTTATGGCTCAGTCAGCACTTTCCCACATTAAAGAACCAGCTGCAACACCTTCACCTCTCCCTCTCACCCTAAGCTGCAGGTTTTGCTTGTGTTGAAACGTGGCAAAATGCTCTTGGTATTCTGTGTTTTATAACAAAAGTAACGTTAAAAGCAAGTCAGTTTTTTAGTCTGGTATCAGTCCAGCCGTATTTTAAGTTAAATAACAGTGAATATTGGGTACTTAAGTGCCAAGTACTACATACCAGGTGTTATGCCTCATTTAAATACTATAAAAAAACTATATGCTGGGTATCAATAGCCCAATTTATAGATGAGGAAACTAAGGTTCGAGAGGTTAAATGATTTTATCAAGGTGATACAGTTAGTACCAAGCAGACAAAACTCAAGTCCAAAAGTATACAATCACTAGAGAAGCTAAATATATTGGTATGTTTGGAAAAGAACACATCTGCAATCCAGGCACAGCTTACACTTTATCTGAGATGGACTTCCTGTGTTACCGTCTAGCTCTTACCTGTGAGCTTAGTGAAGGCATCCATGTCATCAATTGCCGTAGAAATGTGATACTTTTTTCCTTCAGCACCTACAATTTCTATGTAGGGGTCTGCTTTGAGGAAAGCATCTGTAATCCTAAAGATCATTTCATAAAAATGTATGCTTATGAGAAAATTTGAATATTTGCTTAATGCCATGCTTAAAGTTAAGGAAACCTTTCTACTTCAGAGAAGTAAAACCCTGAGACACGATATTCTAAAGACAACTGTTTTTTTTTTTTTTAAACAAACAGATACAAAAAGACAACTGTTTTTTGATCATACATAAATACATAAATAAGTGCATGGGGATTCATCAGCTACCATGTTTACTGTGATCCAAGCATTATGGTAGGGCTTTAGATACATTATCTTATTTAATCTTTCCAACAAGAAGATAGATGTAATCAGCCTCAATTTTACTGATGCAGAAATTAAGTAATTTTCATTTAATCAAGTTAGGAAGAAGCCATACCAGGGTTTGAAACTAGCTGAATTAAAAACAAATAAAAACTTCTTATCAAAGTAACAACCATACAAATAGATGAATGTGTTCTAACTAGTCTGCTCATGTCAATTTAAAACTATTTAGAGATATGGAATTAACTCACATCCTACTTCTGAGAATTCCTCATGGGTCTTTGAGTCACACAGAGATGTATGGCTATACTTCTATCTGTACTTGGCTGAACTTTTCTGCTATGGTTCTCACTGGGCCAGGGAGAAGAGGTCAAATTCCTGTTGGTCTTACTATCTGCTACTAATTTTGACAAATAATTGACAGGGTAAGGACGGGCGTTAATCTTAATTCTTGAAATTAATTTGTCATTAACTTCAGAATGTCAATTATTCACGTCCCATCTGTCACCTTGATGACTAGTATCCGGCACATAAGTAACTACCTGTGAGGAGGTCTAAGGCATGCTGACATTGCCTCTTCATGTCTCGCTGAAGCCAACTCTTCCACGCTTCATCTATCCCCTTTATCTATTCTCCTCCTCTTCCTCCAAATAAGTTTTTACTTCATGCTCGTTTTTGTTGTGTTTAAGGGAACCATTTTAGATTTATTCACCTAAAATTTACTTGAATTCCTAGAAATCTCAACTTGACCCAAGAATGATACTCCAGCAAAGCATCATGAAGAAATTTTACAGGGAAATAGCACTAGAATTTCTTACATTGTATCAATGATGTTGCCAACTTTGTGTTGATAAGCTCTGCGGTGCAAAGAGGTACGGGTATGGAACATGTCATACAGATTCCCAACCTCCTGCAGAAAAACATGAAATAAATATTAATGTAGGTTCAGGTTATGTTACCCTTGTTAGTAGATAAGTCCAGAGGACAAGGAAAAGGGATGGTGACAGATGGACAAGAAGGCTATGCATAAGAACTACCTCATTAAAATCCCTGAGCCCACCCATTAAAAAATACAAGGTAGTTTGCAACTTTTGGTTTGCAACTTTTCTTCTTAGTAAACCAAAATCTATTGTTTTAAGTCTGTGGCAGGTTCTGTTTTAGGCATCTTCAATATATATTTTTAATCTCAACAAGTCTAGAAAATTAGGCATTATTCTTTTTATATTCTTTATTATCAAAAGAAAGACTTTCTGTAGTACAATACCATACTGCTCTTTAGCTACATGACTCTCATCTAGCAGAGACCTAATGATTTAGTATTTTACCTATTATGAAACACTAACATATATCACTAACTATGGTTAAGGATGAGACTTGAGCCAAACTTTCTAGGCTGAAACTTCAGTTCCGCCTTTTATTAATTGTATGTCTTCTTTGCTTCAATTTGCTCACCTGTTAAGTGGGATAATAATAGTATCTATTTCATACTGTTGTGAGAGTTGAGTTAATCCACCCAAAGCACCTAAAAACAGTGCCTCGCACAATACTTAATAAATGTCTGTTGTAACTTTGTTATTATTCAACAATGCAGTAGCAGTGAAAAGAACTTTAAGACACTTAACAAGTGCTAAGCATTAAGTAAAGAGACTGATAATTTACCAAGTTCTGATTTTTCCGAATTATTGAATGATTACTTCTAGATTTCAAACTATGAACTACACCTTCTTTGTTGTTTCCTCTGATCTAGCTTACCTTATCTCTAGTACAAATACGCTTCCTATCATCTACTTCACAAACACGGGCAAATTTGATAAAGCGCTGGTAATCAAAATTATTTTGGATTCCAAGATGATGGCAGTCCCTAGAAAGATTCCAAAGCAGAGAGATGAAATTTGTCAACAAGAAAACTGTACCTTAAGTATCAACACTAAATGTATATAACAATTTTTTATTTTATTCATTTATTTAAATAAAATGTATATATATTTAAAGGATATGAGGATTTCAACCAATTTTTCTGAAGTGTTCAGTGCATACCTGGCAAAATAATCCCATTTGTCCACATCAATGCCATTTCTTTTATTGGCCACTATCTCATAAAGGAAGCTTTTCTCTTTAGGACGCCCTTTGTATGGCCACTGGAAGACAAGAAAACTCACCAAAAGTTTTAGGATATGAACGAAATCTATTTACAAGCAAAGCAACTGTGTTAATCTAAAAATTATAAACAGAGGGGCGCCTGGGTGGCTCAGTCGGTTGAGCATCCAACTTTGGCTCAGGTCATGATCTCACAGTTTGTGAGTTCAAGCCGTGCATCAGGCTCTGTGTTGACAGCTCAGAGCCTGGAGCCTGCTTCAAATTCTGTGTCTCCTTCTCCTTCTGCTCCTCCCGGCTCACACACTCTCTCTCTCTCAAAAATAAATAAACATAAAAAGTTTAAAAATAAAATAAAATAAAAATTATAAACAGACACGTGCATGGGAATGTGAGATAAGTCAAAAAGTTCCACTCTTTCCTTCTTCCACCTAATTGCTAAACTAGTAGAAAAAGGAAAAGAAATGCTAAAGTATATGACATCCTGTTAATACCAAGCCTTGTGCCATTGAAAGGATTCTAACTCTATTACACGTCCCATAACCAACAAACTTTCTTCTTTTCTTGGTTTAAAAGTTTATTTAAAATTTAAGATCTGGGGCCCCTGAGTGGCTCAGTCAGTTAAGCATCGACTTTGGCTCAGGTTATGATCTTGTGATTCGTGAGTCTGAGCCCCACATCGGGCTCTGTGATAACAGCTCAGACCCTGGAGCCTGCTTCAGATTCTGTGTCTCCCTCTTTCTCTGCCCCTCCCCTGCTTGCACTCTGTCTCTCTCTCTCTCAAAAATAAACATTAAAAAAAATTACAATACAAGATCTAATTATGAATTAGTAAGAATGCTCTTCAAGCTAATGCTTGAATTCATGCATGGAAATAGTATCTTTCAAAGTAGTTGCACATCTAGTCAAAATGATATGTATTGTTCAAAGAATTTTTGAAGCTCCTATATTTTGGAAATAGAATATTTGCTTCAAAATCCAGATTTTTTGGCAGGGGTTGGGGGGTGAGGGGATGGTGCACGTGGGTGGCTCAGTTGGTTAAGCTTCCGACTTCAGCTCAGGTCATGATCTCACAGTTTGTGGGTTTCAGCCCCGTGTTGGGTTCTGTGCTGACAGCTCAAAGCCTGGAACCCACTTGGGATTCTGTGTCTCCCTTTCTCTCTGCCACAATGCAGGGCTTGAGCCCATGACCCTGAGATCAAGACCTGAGCTGAGATCAAGAGTCGGATGCTTACCAACTGAGCCACCCGGGTGCATCTAGCTCTTTATCTTATAAGTAGATCGATATACATTCAAGGCAAAATTTTTTTAAAACCCAAAGGCAAACTATTTTTCAACTTTTAAATTAAAACAAACAAACAAAAACAAAAACAGATTTTCCTTTGAACTATTCAACTTTTTTTCTAGGTCTTCATATATCTAAGTATTTCAGATATGCTATTTTTTTTAATTGATTTATTTTATTTTTTTCTCTTCTTTTAAAATTTTCTTCTATGAGCCCTGCCCCCTCCCATCCCTCCTCCCTCCCACTCCTGCACAGCTCTCCCTAAAGCACTCAAATATGTTAACTCTTTTAAAAATGATCTTATTTTGCGGGGGCACCTGGGTGGCTCAGTCGGTTGGGTGTCTGACTCTTGATTTTGGCTCATGTCATGATCTCACGGTCATGAAATCAAGCCCTGTGTTGAGCTCTGCACTAGGCATGGAGCCTGCTTAAGATTCTCTCTCTCCCTCTGTTCCTCCCCTGCTCGTGTACAAGCTCTCTCTCTCTTAAAGAAAAATTAAATTAAATTAAATTAAATTAAATTAAATTAAATTAAAGTAAAGTAAAATTTGGGGCGCCTAGATGGTTCAGTCAGTTAAGCATCTGACTTCGGCTCAGGTCATGATCTCGCAGTCTGTGAGTTCGAGCCCCATGTCAGGCTCTGTGCTGACAGTTCAGAGCCTGGAGCCTGCTTCAGATTCTGTATCTCCCTCTCTCTCTGCCCATCCCACATGGATTCTCTGTCTCTCAAAAGTGAACAAGCATTTGAAAAAAAATTTTTAATTAAATTAAAAAATATATTTCATTTTTAAATAATCTTTATGCCCAACATGGGGCTTGAACTCAAAACCCCGAGATTACCACTCATGTACTCTGCCGACTGAGCCAGCCAGATGCCCCAAACATGTTAATTTTAATGGAGAAACAGGACATGCCCTTTTACATTTTTCAAACAATGTTACTTCAGGCTTCTATATAGAATACTACATATATATTCATCAAAAAACATTTACATATGTATTTTAATTTGGGAGGTAATTTCTAAAGAAGTGTTAAGAGATGAAAAAAATAGATAAGCCTTTTTATTTTTTTTGCACTAAACAGTAGAAATACATAATGTATGTTATCATTTAGTCCCTCTAAAATAGCCAAATATCTCTCTTCAAATAGCTCTGAAGGATTAAAAAAAAAAAAAAAAAAAAGCTCTGAAGGAAACTAGAAAAGACTAGATGGAAAACACAGTCAATTCAAATTAAGTTGTAAACAAACTTACCAAAGAATCTTTGATTGGTGATTCAAGTGGTCCTGTAATTTGTTCCTTGATAAAGCATATATCTTCTTCAGGGATGAGACCGTAATGTTCCATGACAGCTTTGAGACCATTAGAATTAACTAGGTGCTCAAACATCTTCACTGAGCCCTGTTCATGCTAGGAAAAGTCAGCACAATATGATCTGTCATAGACTCTAGTCCATCAGGGACCCCAAATAATTCAAATTATTCTTGATTCCAGGTAATTCAGAGATAAGGTTCCAATGCATGTTAATTATCTAGTTCCCAACTACCATCTTACAGATATTTTAAAAAACCTGTTAAATTTGTCTGTAAACAAATAAACCTTTTACATATCATGTTCATTATCTCATAAATATATTTAATGAGATATATAATTTATAGTGAAGAAATATTGTATAGTACAGTACAAAAGAATATTACCCAGTCATACAGATGGGATCCTGCTTTAATGAATATCACTATAAAATTCAGTTCTATTGTGTCATCAGGCTTGGAACATTTGAAGTTACAAATTCTGTTAGCACTTCCATCTGGTGGTGAGAAGCAGTAACTGCAAACTTGCCACTTAAGAACAAAAGTGTTTAGAGTTCTAAAGTCAAGATCTAGGGGGGGGAATCTCAAATTGGCCTCTTTTTACTCATCTGTCTGCTCACTCATTCATAATTGTAAACATAAAATGATCCCCTGAAGATACTGGCACCATCACAGGTCTTACCAAAATCCGACTCAGTATGAAAACAAAACCCTGAATGGTCCTGTAACTATTTTTTGTAAGTGAATCAAGATACATATTAATTACAACAAGGAAAAACATAGTTCAGGTTTATAGTGAAGAAATCTGGTAAACATTGCCTTAAGTGATCAAAGTTAATGTCACCAGCATTGTGTTAAACAGAGTTTCCGTGCCTCTGATGCTAAAGAAGATATAATGTGGCATTCTGCCAAAAATACATAGTCTGACACTATGTATCAGAAAACTGCAAACTAAAGGACATATCAGAAACAACTCACCTGTACTCTTCAAAAAAATAACAAGATCATGAAAGATAAAGACTGAAGAATTGTTCCAGATCAAAGGAGACTAAAAAGAAATAGCAACTAAGTATGATTTATGTACGGACTGGGGAGGAATAAAGTTTTCTTTCTCCTTTTCTGCATGGACAATTGATGAAATTTGACAGAAACTATAAACTAAATAATAGTATAGCATCAGTATTAATTTCTTGATTTTGATACCTGTACTGAGGTTATGTAAGAGAATATTCTTGTTTTTAGGAAATACCCACTGAAGTATTTAGGAATATAGGGGTATGTCTACAACTCACTTTCAAATGGTTCAGAAAAAATTTTACTTTTTTTAAAGATTTTTATTTTTAAGTAATCTCCACACTCAAATGGATCTCAAACTTATAACCCAGAGACCAAGAGTCTCACACTCCACTAACTGAACCAGCCAGGCACCCCGAAAAAAAGTTATTTATACAGAAAAATTTAAGTCCCACAAAGATAACATGGACAATTACAATGAAAATTATAAGCAACTTAGGAATAAATATAACAAAAGATATAGAAGACCTTTATGGAGAAGATTATAAAATTTATAATAAAGGGCAAATGGCCAAAGATACTTAATAAAAGAAAAGAGATGAAAAGTTATTATAAAGTAATAATAATTAAAGTGTGAAATAGAAGAGAATCCAGAAGGATTCATCATATATGGAAAGTTAATAAATGTTGGGGGTGTGTTATAGATCAGTAAGGAAAGAATGAACTGTTCAGTAAACAATCATCCAGGTTTTAAAAAAAGACATTAGATTTCTACTATGCACATGCACAAAAATAAATCCACATGAGTTAAGGACTTATATGTGAAAGGCCAAATATCTATTATTTTTAAAAATCTAGGTATGGGGGCGCCTGGGTGGCGCAGTCGGTTAAGCGTCCGACTTCAGCCAGGTCACGATCTCGTGGTCCGTGAGTTCGAGCCCCGCATCGGGCTCTGGGCTGATGGCTCAGAGCCTGGAGCCTGTTTCCGATTCTGTGTCTCCCTCTCTCTCTGCCCCTCGCCCGTTCATGCTCTGTCTCTCTCTGTCCCAAAAATAAATAAACGTTGAAAAAAAAAATTAAAAAAAAAAATCTAGGTATGTATGTATGTATGTACGTTTGTATGTATTATTTGAGAGAGAGAGAGCAGGGAGAGGGGCAGCGAGGGAAAGGGGGGGAGAGAGAGAGAGAGAGAGAGAGACTCAAACGTGGGGCTCAACGTGGGGCTCAATCCCATAACGATGCTCAACCAAGCCAACCAGGTGCCCCAAAAGGTCAAACATATAAATAAAAGACATGGAAATGGCTGAGTAGATCCTATTTAGATCAGCCTTGCTGAAGAAAACAACTGTTAAGTCTGGACAACTTCCTAAAAGTACTGGAGAGCGACCAAAGTAGGCAGATGTCAGCAGGAAGTTAATACTTGGAAAAAAAGAGCACGGGGCAATATTCCAATTCTTTTATGGCCTTTAGTATGAGGCTCCCAGGAAGCAAAACTATAGAGAAACTATTGATCTCAGTTCATTAAAGAACCAGAATACTTCATCAACATTTAAAATTTGTTTCTCAAAAAGTACCATTAAAAAAAAAAAATGAATTGGAGGGGTGCCTGGGTGGCTCAGTCAGTTAAGTGTCTGACTTCGGCTCAGGTCATGATCTCCCAGTCCATGAGTTCGAACCCCGTGTCGGGCTCTGTGCTGACAGCTCAGAGCCTGGAGCCTGCTTCAGATTCTGTGTCTCCCTCTCTCTCTGCTCCTCCCCCACTCATGCCCTCACTCTCTCTCTCTCTCTCTCAAAAATAAATAAATATTAAAAATTTTTTTTTAATGAATTGGAGGGGTGCCTGGCAGGCTCAGTCAGAAGAGCATGTGACTCTTGACCTTGGGTCATGAGTACGAGCCCCACATTGGCTGTAGAGATTACTTAAATGAATGAATGAATTTGCAAGTAAGAGACTGAAGAAAAAATATTCACAATACATATATCTGACCATTATACATATAGTTACTATATATACTATTACATAGTTATGTAAGTAATTAAATCAACAATCAAAAAGCAAACAACAACATTTTTTAAATGGGTTAAGTGTTGAAAGAACTCTTCACAAAAGAAGATACATCAATAACAAAGTACAGGGGGGCATCTGGGTGGCTCAGCCTGTTAAGCCTCAGACTCTTGATTTCCACTCAGGTCATGATCTCACAGTTTGTGAGTTCGAGCCCCATATCCAGCTCTGTGCTGACAGTGCAGAGCCTGTCTGGGGCCCTCTCTCTCTGCCCCTTCCCTACACTTACTTCCTCTCTCTCTCAAAAATAAACTTAAAACACACACACACACACACACACACACACACACACACACACACACACCAAAAAAAACAAAGCACAGGAAATGGTATTCAGCATATATCAGAGAATGCCAAAAAAAAAGAAAACAAAACAACAAAAACCCAAAACCCCACAAAATACCACTTCACACTCGTTAGAAAGGCTAATCTAAAAAATGAAAGGATGAAGCTACAGAACAACAGGAAATCTCCCACAGTGCTAACAGAGGGCAAAATGGTACAACAACAGGGGAAAGGTCTGGCAGTTTCTTTTGTTTTTTTTCTAATTTTTAAGTTTATTTACTTATTTTGAGAGAGAGAGAGAGTGAGAGAGAATGCACGCAGGTGCGTGTGCACACAAGTCGGGGAGGGACAGAGTGTGGAAGAGAGAACATCCCAAGCAAGCTCCGTGCTGTTAGCACAGAGCTCAATGCAGGGCTCTATACCACGAACTGGGAGATCATGACCTGAGCCTAAATCAAGAGTCGGACACCGATGCTCAACCGACTGAGTCACCTAGATGCCCTTGGTTGGCAGTTTCTTATAAAGTAAACATGCACCTACTCCATGATCTAGCAATTCTACTCAGGTATTTTACCTAAAAGAAATGAAAACATTTTCCATAAAAATGTTTTGCAACCTTATTTGTAATAGCCAAAAAGTGAAAACAACCCAAATTATATTGAAGGGGAAAGTACAAACAAATCACAATTTACTCACACAAGGGGATACTACTCAGCAATAAGCAGGGATCAACAGTAATGCATGCAACATGATAGAATCTCACAATCATCATGTATGAATAAAAGCAAAACACTAAAGAGTATATATGATATGATTCTACTTACATGAAATCTAAGAATAGGCAAAACTAATCTATATTTAAAAAAATCAGAAGGTGATGAGGGAGAAGCAGCCATCGACTGAGAAGGGGCATAAGGGGATTTTCCAAGAAGATGAAGACATCTTGTATCCTGACTTGGGTAGTGATTACATGGATATATCTATTTGTAAAAATTCACTGAACCATGGTGCCTGGCTGGCTCAGTCAGTAGAGCATGTGACTCTCGATCTCAGGGTCATTAGTTTGGACCCAATGTTGGGGGTAGAGATTACTTGAGATAAATAAACAAACAAACTTAAAAAAAAAATTAAGATTGGTACCAACTTACTATATGTGAATTATTCCTTTATTTTTTAAAATTAAAAAAAATTTTAATGTTTATTTATTTTTGAGAGAGAGAGTGAGCAAGCTAGTGGGGGAGGGGCATATAGAGAGAGGGAACAGAGGATCCGAAGCAGGCCCCACACTGACAGCAGAGAGCCCGATGCAGGGCTTGAACTCATGGACCGTGAGCCTAAATCAAGAGTCAGATGCTTAACCAACTGAGCCACCCAGCTGCCCCTTGAATTATTCCTTTAAAAGAAAAAGAAAAAAAATAGGGGTGCCTGACTGTCTCATTTGGGAGAGCATATGACTCTTGATTTCAAGGTCATGAGTTTGAGTCCCATGTTAGGTGTAGAGATTACTTTAAAAAAACAAACAAACAAACAAACAAACAAACAAAGAAAGAAAGAGAGAGAGAAAGAAAGAAAGGAAGAAAGAAAGAAAGAAAGAGAAAAGAGAAAGAAAAAGAGAAAAAGAAAGGGAAACAGGGAGGAAGGAAGAGGGGAAGGAAGAGAAAGAGGAGGGAGGGAAGAAGGCAGGAAGGGAGGGAGGAAGGCAGGAGGAAAGGAAGGGAAAGAAAAGGAAAGAAGGAAAGAAGGAAAGAAGGAAGGAAGGAAGGAAGGAAGGAAGGAAGGAAGGAAGGAAGGAAGGAAATAGAGGTTGACATGGAAGGAGGATTCAGTACATATTAATATTCTTTACTCCAGATTCCAGAAATACTGTGTGGAAGCCAGCCTAACTTCACTTTCCAAAACCTGATTCAAAAAATATGGGTCAGCCACCTCCAAATCCCTAATAATAAAGTGGTTCATTTAATATAAACAATGAAACGTGGCTGGTATCAGTTACTTCATGATAAAAATGGAGTTAGCTATTATTTTACTTTTCAATAATATGATAGAATAGTAAAAGCATTAAATTAGCATCTAGAAAACCTGGTTTTCTACTGCTGGCTCCACCCTTTAACAGCTTTGTGATTTTTTTGTGTATCAGTTCAATACACCTCTGTGAGCTTCAAGTTCCTTTACACTTATAAAAATGGAGATAATGATTCTTCCTTTATAGACTACTGTGAGATCAAATGCAACATTATGTATTTGTATATGATTGCACCCTGAAAACTGTAATGGGGAAGTATACTATAACACAGCAATGGTTGCTTAAATAGTCTTTACTTTATTGACTATTGAATACATGAAAACATACCGTCCATTCCACATCTGGGCGAGCAAGTGGAATAAATCTTCCATCAAACATATGAGAAAATGGCCCATGACCTAAAAAAACAAAAGCCTTAAAACTGCTTGTAAACTGGTAAAAAGTGAAACTATTTTTTAATCTTTTTAGCGAAAACTGAATATCAACAGAAATTAATACTTTATAAGTACATTACAAAGAGGAACAAAAATCCTTCCTTCCTATTTTCTAAAACAAGAAAATAAGAAACAAAAACATATAGGAAAGTGAACTGCCCATGGAGGGGTCTTTGAGTCGTCAGAGCTCACATACATCTGATGAAAGGACAGTTCTGTGTAACTAAAAGGAATATTAATGAAAAACTTTGGCATCTTCAGATTGAATATTTGTATTAGAATAGTCATTTTAAGATCATCCACTGAGGTGGAGGAAGAAAATAATAAAACTTTATTTTTCTACTCTCATCCTTTTAAAAACATTTATTTTCATGTAAATTGTATAATTTACATAATACATTTTATAATAAATATACACACTTGGGTTTTTACTGCTGATGTGGGCAACCAAAAGTGGAGATCACTAGTTTATCTTATTCATAAGTGATTTTAACATTCCACTCATTTAATCCTATGAAACTTTGTTGACACACAACTCTGTAATTATCAGAATTTCTGAAGTGAGTTACTTGGCTAAAGAGGGACCCCACCTGGACCAGCCCTGGGCCTTTTTGCATGTCACAGTCTATAGAAAAAGGCTCATTAATGCAGTGCTCAGACTCCTAGACACTGACAAAGTTTCCCAATGATCCCCTCTAGAATCTGTTAAATTTATCATCTAGGAGTGGTACTGGTCCTGCTGAAATCTCCAAGGGGACATGCTAAAGAGAGTGCCTTATCCCCTTGACAATCTGGCTGTTCAAACACAGATACCTCCCTTTCGCTACCCTCAGGGCACACACAAACTCTCAGGATCCTCCAATAGGTAGGAATAAACTACAAAGACATGGCGTTGAAAACTCCTGTAAAAAAGAGGACAGTCTCTCCCTCTCTCTTAAGTTTATTTATTTATTCTGAGAGAGAGCGCATATGCACAGGGGGAGGGCAGAGAGAGGAGAGAGAGAATCCCAAGAAGGCTCCATACCCAGTGTGGAGCCCAGCTCAGGGCTCAGTCTCACAAACAGTGAGATAATGACATGACCTGAGCCAAAATCAAGAGTTGGACGCTTAACCAACTGAGCCACGCAGGCACCCGTCTTTTCTCTTTCTTTGTCAAAGAAGGATGATATTCTACTTGGATTAAAGTGGTCTAAGACCTCACATGGGTCAGGAGAGAAAAGGAGTTCTCTAAATGTGTTGTTAATCTGCTAGGGAAGATTATGTATTTTAGGTATGAGAAGAATGAATTTGATGAAGTAACTGACAGAAAATGGCAACAAAAAGAATAAAGGAAAGATAAAACTCCTATCATCCTAAATACAGTAGTCAAAAATCTCACTATTAGAAGGTCCTTTTGGGGCACCTGGGTAGCTCAATCAGTTGAGTGTCCTACTCTTGATTTCAGCTCAGCTCATGATCCCAGGGTTGTGGGATCAAGCCCCACATTGGGCTCCACAGCATGGAGCCTGCCTGGGATTCTCTCTCTCTCTCCCTGTCTCTCTCACTCTCTCCCTCTCTCTCTCCCTCCCTCCCTCTTCCCCACCCCCAGCTCCTCACACTCTCTGTCTCTAAAAAAATTTTTTTAAATAAAAAAATTAAAAATGTAAATATCCAAAAAAAAAAAAAAGTCCTTTCATATAACTTGTAGCAAAGTTGTTTAATGTGGGAAATACATTTAAAGACCACAAAAAATAATAGCAAAGCTTTGAGCTTATGAATCATTCTAGGAAGAAGCAATGGTACATTTATATTAATGTTAACTGCAGAATTAAAACACAACTTTCAGGGGCGCCTGGGTGGCTCAGTCGATTTAAGCATCTGACTTCGGCTCAGGTCATGATCTCACAGTCCGTGAGTTCGAGCCCCGTGTCGGGCTCTGTGCTGACATATCGGAGCCCAGAGCTTGCTTCAGATTCTGTGTCTCCCTCTCTCTGACCCTCCCCCGTTCATGCTCTGTCTTTCTCTGTCTCAAAAATAAGTAAACATTAAAAAAATTTGCTAAACACAACTTTCATATTTCTTTCCATTATTAGATTTTTTTAATTCCAAAAAGAGATAACTTGTTATGGTTTTATGTTAACAACTTTGGTTCTTTGTACAGCATACCGAGATCATGACAGAGGCCAGCAATCTGAACACAGAGCACATCCCGTTCACTTATCTGCAGCTCTGGTTGTTTTTCACGCAGTGCACGAACAAGACATCCCGCTAGATACCCTACGCTGCAGAGTAAGCAAAACAAAACAACATAAAGTCACTCTTCCGTTTGAAAGATGATACTTCTGGAACTCAAGAATTCTAATATGTTTCTCAAATGTTTTAATATATTTCTACAACAAGTTAACAGAATAGTCGGTTTGAGAACTAGGCAGAAACACAAATAGAATCCTCAAAGCAGGACCTATTGGCTCGCAATCAGTTAATCATTAGGGAAGCGCAAAATCAAAACCACAATGAAATACCCCCTCACACTCATTAGAAAAGCTATAAAACAAAACAAAACACAAACAAACCCCCCCCCACACGCACACAAAACAAAAAACAAAAAAACAAATGTTGAGCAGGATGTGGAAAAATTGGAACCTCGTGCACTGCTGTTGGGAATGTATAAAATGGTGCAACTGCTATAACAATATGGTGGTCCCTCAAAAAATTGAAACTAGAATTACCATATGATCCAGCAGTCCCACTCGCGGTATGTAACCAAAAACACTGAAAGCAGTGTCTCAAAGAGCACACCCATGTTCCTAGCAGCACTCAGTCGCTCTGCACCAGAACTCTGTCTGGCTCTCCCTGCTCCTGTTCTGGGCAAGCCCAAGTCTAAGTGGATGATGTGATCATTGAGGATTTGTCAGGCTACATGGAATACTACTTATATATTCCCAAGAAAATGCCCCACATGGCAGAAATGATGTACACCTGATAGCAAGAAGCTAATTAATATGATTTAAACCAATAAAGGGTTGCCAAAGAGATTTAGTTAATGGCAGACCTTGTGCCCACATCGTGTGAGAAGACGTCTCCTTATGCTCACTGTGCTTGCAATAAAAACTTTTTTCAGGCGCGCCTGAGTGGCTCAGTTGATTAAGCGTCCGACTTTGGCTCAGGTCATGGTCTCGCAGTTCATGGGGCACCTGGGTGGCTCAGTTGGTTAAGCGTCCTACTTCAGCTTAGGTCATGATCTCATGGTTCATGAGTTTGAGCCCCACGTCAGGCTCTGTGCTGAGGGCTTGGAGCCTGGAGCCTGCTTCAGATTCTGTGTCTCCCTCTCTCTCTGCTCCGCCCCCACTCACATTCTGTCTGTCTCTCAAAAATAAAATAAACGTTAAAAAAAAACTTTTCTCAAAAAAAAAGTCAAAGAGGTAGAAGCAACCCAATGTCCTCTCACAAATGAAGGGATAAACAAAATGTGGTATAAACATACAAAAGAATATTATTCAGTCTTAAAAAAGAAGGAAATTCTCACACATGCTCTAACATAGATGAACGTTGAGAAAATTATGCTAAGTGAATTAAGCCAGTCACAAACAGATAACTACTGTATGAGGTACCTAGAGTAGTCAAATTCATAGAAACAGAAAGCAGAATGGTGATAGCCAGGGGCTAGAGGGAGAAGAGAATGAGGAATTGTTATTTAATGGAGAAGAGTTTCAGTTTTGCAAGATGAAAAAGTTCTGGAGTTTGGTTGCACAATAATATGGATACATTTAACACTATTGAAGTACACTTAAAAATGGTTAAGATGGTAAGTTTTATATCCTGCGTATTTTACCACAAGTTTTTTTTCAAAAAAGCAGGACCTCTGGTTTTATAACATAGATTGAAGATAAAGTGCCCAACAAATGTTAAATGCACTTTTAGCACTTCCCTCAGAAAGTAATTCCTGAGTGAATACAGTATCTTTCTTTCTCTGCTTAAACCCTAACTCCACAAAGCTGGGACAACTGCTACCTTGGTCTGGTAGGGCCTAGTAAGTTTTCAATAAATATTTGCTGATGAATGAATAAACATCTGAATAGACACTTGTCTTCTGGCTAATTAAAAACACTTCAAAAACAAAACACACACACTTCAAAACAAACAAACAAATGTAGAACAGTGTGAGTAGTCCATGAAACCTAGAAAACTGTCTAGTTTTTTCCACCCCAGCCCATGTTCTCCTGGTTCTAGATTCTATAATGGAAAAGCAGACCAAATTCTCAACTAGTTGTTTGTAACAGAGGTGCCACCTTTTCTACGCTTGTGAATGCTCTTCTGATTTACACATTTCCTGCTAGGTTAAGAATATTATCTGGTTTCGGGGCGCCTGGGTGGCTCAGTCGGTTAAGCATCCGACTTCGGCTCAGGTCATGATCTCACGGTGTGTGAGTTCGAGCCCCCCGCGTCGGGCTCTGTGCTGACAGCTTGGAGCCTGGAGCCTGTTTCAGATTCTGTGTCTCCCTCTTTCTCTGACCCTCCCCTGTTCATGCTCTCTCTTTGTCTCGAAAATAAATAAATGTTAAAAAAAATTTTTTTTAAGAATATTATCTGGTTTCAAAGGGCAATTCTTTATAAGACTAAACAGGAAAATTAAGTAATAAAATTTACAACATTAGTTATATCAGTAACCAACCCATGTTTAAACAAATATGTCATCGAAATGGCCTGTCAATAGATACTTTCATTATCTTTCCAGTGAGGATCTGAATTGGCTTATAAGAGTACATAAAATAGGGGCGCCTGGGTGGCTCAGTTGGTTAAGCGTCTGGCTTTGGCTCAGGTCATCATCTTGAGGTTTGTGAGTCCAAGTCCCACATTGGGCTCTGTGCCGACAGCTCAGAGCCTAGAGCCTGCTTTGGATTCTGTCTCTCTCTGCTCTTCCCCCACTCATGCTCTGTCTCTCTCTCTCTCAAAAATAAATAAGCATTAAAAAATTTTTTTAAATACATAAAATATAGCAAGGTAAATCAAAGCCTCAATTTTCTCAACAAAATATGGATATTATTACCATTTTGTAAAACTATGCTCTAAAAGATCATTATTTCATAAGATAAGGAAAGTACTGGGGCACCTGGGTGGCGCAGTCGGTTAAGCGTCCGACTTCAGCCAGGTCACGATCTCGCGGTCCGTGAGTTCGAGCCCCGCATCAGGCTCTGGGCTGATGGCTCGGAGCCTGGAACCTGCTTCTGATTCTGTGTCTCCCTCTCTCTCTGCCCCTCCCCCGTTCATGCTCTGTCTCTCTCTGTCCCAAAAATAAATAAAAACGTTGAAAAAAAAATTAAAAAAAAAAAAAGATAAGGAAAGTACTTAAATAACTGTAAATTCCCCATCAACTGCCTTCTTACCCTAGACTGTGCTCAAATCGGTTGTGCGAAGCGCCTGGAAAAATATAGTAACTGCCACCCAACTGTTTGATATATCGAAGCCGCTGAAATTGAGGTGTGTCGATGATTCGGATGAGGAGAGGGTGGAGTTCAATGTGGCCATGGATAGGATCATTAATGACCTAGAAAATGTTTAAATTAATATCAATAACAATATATAATTCCATCTAAAATTTTTGTGCAGCCGTTCCTATCTACAGTGAACAATTAAAGCTATTCAATTGTTCTCAAGTAAGAATACTTCTACAGGAAATAACAAGATATTAATATCATTACCTTATTTAGGTATCACTACCAGACAGATCAAGTATATTGGATCTGGGTATATTTTACTTCTTCTTAATGGATTCTAATATAGAAAAATAAGGAATTCAATTTTTTTTATGATTTGATTATATGATTTGATTAGTCTTTAATATGTATATGATTTGATTAGTCTTTAATAAGTTAGTCTTGCATTCAAGTTAAACGTACTCATTTAACACACTCATTCAGATCATATAAGCCTTATTGCTATAGACAATGTGTCTGTTTTTTTCCTAAATGTATCTATATGGTACCCATTAGGAAGAGAGGGAGTGAGGAAGAAAGAATGGGAAGCTTCCTACCATATAGATAAGAAATTTTGGGCAGGAAAATGAAATTCTATACTACTCAATGTCACTCAGAAATACCTATACTTAGTGAAGATAAATTTTACAATTATTTATTACTCTAAGCTTAAACAGGGTTAAATACAGGTGAAGATTTAATGTCCCTCAGTGTTCATGGGGCGCCTGGGTGGCGCAGTCGGTTGAGCGTCCGACTTCAGCCAGGTCACGATCTCGCGGTCCGGGAGTTCGAGCCCCGCGTCGGGCTCTGGGCTGATGGCTCAGAGCCTGGAGCCTGTTTCCGATTCTGTGTCTCCCTCTCTCTCTGCCCCTCCCCCGTTCATGCTCTGTCTCTTTCTGTCCCCAAAATAAAATAAAAACGTTGAAAAAAAAAAAATTAAAAAAAAAAAAATAATGTCCCTCAGTGTTTCTTAAAATAAAGATACATCTTAACTATCCATAACCGCCTTTTAAAGAGAAAGACAATAAAAAAGGAGTGGCCCTTGTGTGGCTCATTTGGCTAAGTGTCCGACTCTTGATCTCGGCTCAGGTCATGCAGTTTGTGACTTTTCAGCTGATGGCATAGAGTCTGTTTGGGATTCTGCCCTCCTCCGCTTGTGTTCTCTCTCTCTCTCTCTCACTCACTCAAAATAAATAATAAAAAATTTTTTTAAATGAAAAGAAAAAAGGAACTTAATAAATGATCTGATGCATGATTTTCAAACTGCTTCAAATTTTTCCATGAAGTTCCTTAAAAATGTATGGAATTCTGGGAGGTGAAGGGCCTTGTCTACTGCCATATTCTCAGAACTCATCACGCAGCGTAATGCCTGGCACACAGTAGGAACTCAGATATGTTTTAAATGGTTACTGTTGAACTGCCATTGCAAAGATACAAATATTTTTTAAAGGTTTATTTATTTTTTTGAGAGAGAGCATGAATGGGAGGAGGGGTGGAGAGAGAGGGGGGGACAGAGGATCCAAAGCAGGCTCTGTGCTGACAGCAGTGAGCCCAATGAGGGGCTCAAACCCACGAACTGTGAGATCATGAGTTGAGCCGAAATTGGAGGCTCAATGGACTAAGCCACCTAGGTGCCCCAAGATACATATGTTAAAATTCTTTTTTTTTTATTTTTTTTATTTTTATTTTTATTTTTTCAACGTTTATTTATTTTTGGGACAGAGAGAGACAGAGCATGAACGGGGGAGGGGCAGAGAGAGAGGGAGACACAGAATTGGAAACAGGCTCCAGGCTCTGAGCCATCAGCCCAGAGCCTGACGCGGGGCTCGAACTCACGGACCGCGAGATCGTGACCTGGCTGAAGTAGGAAGCTTAACTGACTGCGCCACCCAGGCGCCCCAAGATTCTTATAGTTAAAGTGTACCATGCCCATATATAGATATATACAAAATATGAATTACAAAAGCTCTATGCTGTAAAGAAGCTTAAAGGGTCATCTGGTCCAACATTTGAACATGCTAATGATAAGGAAGTCATTTCCTTTAAAAACAGCCCAATTCAGGGGCGCCTAAGTGGCTCAGTCGGTAGAGTGTCCGACTTCGGCTCAGGTCATGGTCTCATGGTTCGTGAGTTCGAGCCCGCATCAGCCTCTGTGCTGACAGCTCAGAGCCTGGAGCCTGCTTCAGATTCTGTGTCTCCCTCTCTCTCTGCCCCTCCCCCACTCGCACTCTCTGTCTCTCAAAAATGAATAAATATTAAAAATTAAAAAAAATAGCTCAATTCAAGTTGTGCATCAACAGCCTGAGTCAAGTAATGCCTAGAATTTATACCTTTGTTAAGCAATATGTAATGTATATTAACAAAGATTAGATTTATGACTGGTGAGTATTAATTTTTTTCACCTGCTCTATAAAGTCACTTTATCACTATCATAAACTGGGTGATATTGGGTGTCTGGGTGGCTCAGTTGGTTAAGCGTCCAACTCGATTTCAGCTCAGGTCTGCTTGGGATTCCCTCTTTCCCCCTCTCTCTGCTCCTCCCCCTCACTCACTCTTGCACACTTGTGTATATATACTCTCTCTCTCAAAATAAACATTAAAAAATATATAAAATCATTAAAGCTATCAATTTCATGACTATACAGTGACTCACTGACCAAAAAGTACTTAGGAACTTCAAAATCTATTTGCAACAAATGTAATTTATAATTTATAAATATGGTTAGGCAGTTTTCTGTTTTTGATGAAACATAGAATAAAAGTGAGTAAATGACACTGATTGTCTTTCTTTTTAACTTTTAACCTTTACTTTAGAGGGAGAGGGAGATGTGAGTGGGGGAGAGAGGCAGAGGGAGACTGAGAATCTGATGCAGGCTTCACACTCAGCCCGACACAGGACTTGATCCCATGACCCTGGGACCATGGCCTGAGCCAAAATCAAGAGACACTCAACTAACTAAGCCACCCAGGAACCCCGAAACTGGTGTCTTGAACATTACTTCAAAATTATTTTTGCTGCAGGGGCGCCTGGGTGGCTCAGTCGGTTGAGCGTCTGACTTCGGCTCAGGTCACGATCTCGCGATTTGTGGGTTGGAGCCCCGCGTCGGGCTCTATGCTGACCCCTCAGAGCCTGGAGCCTGCTTTGGATTCTGTGTCTCCTTCTCTCTCTGCCCCTCCCCAACTTGTGCTCCATCTCTCTTTGTCTCTCAAAAATAAATAAATGTAAAAAAACATTAAAAAAATATTTTTGTTACAAATTTTGTTGCACTGTGAAAATGTGGTAACAGAGATCATCTGAGATGATCTCACCTAATAAAGAAAACTTATCTATGTCCTATCTGAAGAGAATACTCTGTGCTGCCCTTCTCATGAAGGAATGAAGGACAAAATAGATTGTAGGCAATTTTCTTCCAACTGCAGGACAAAATTGTTAAATATAATCTTTAATAAGTGATCACCCTATTTAATTTGTCATGAAAAGAATGAGGTATTTTAATATTAGGTAACTTTTTCAGAAAGGGCTAAAATTTGATTATTCAAATAAAATACTTGCTATAAGAACCACTACTTGGCCTATAAAAGAAAACTCTTGTAGGACTGAACCAAACACATTTATTAAATATTTCAAACATGGGGAGTTTGGCTGGCTCAGTCAGGGGAGTGTGTGGCTCTTGAACTCAGGGTTGTGAATTTGAGGCCCATGTTGGGTGTAGAGATTACTTAAAAATAAAATCTTAAATTTTTTTTTTCAAACATGATTTTCTTTTTTTTTTTTTTAATTTTTTTTTTCAACGTTTATTTATTTGTGGGACAGAGAGAGACAGAGCATGAACGGGGGAGGGGCAGAGAGAGAGGGAGACACAGAATCGGAAACAGGCTCCAGGCTCCGAGCCATCAGCCCAGAGCCTGACGCGGGGCTCGAACTCACGGACCGTGAGATCGTGACCTGGCTGAAGTCGGACGCTTAACCGACTGCGCCACCCAGGCGCCCCAAACATGATTTTCAATGGGAAATAAGCAGACTGACTGGCAAGAGTAAAATTGAAATATGTATTCTCATAGAGATCTGAGATAACTTAAATACTGTACAAAATATACCAAACACAGCTAATGAAAAATGTACATGATCATTGCAAAAGGGTACAAAAGGGGATTTAGATATCCTACACCTTCTTCCAGGTCTGAAACTAAGTTTTCTTAACCTACAGAAGTCAAAAGGGTGAACAATAAGATAAAATTTCTGTCACCAATCAAGAAACATTTCTTTAATTATGATACCAGAGAGTCTGTGAAAAATGCACATTCACGGGCCTACTGTAAATTCCCACAATCAGAATTTCTGAGATGGAGGGTGGGCAGTTGACCACTTGTTAAAATGATTCTTGGGACACTAATTCCAAAAAACAGGGCCTTGAATGTCTGGAAGGGGCCGGGAGATGAAAAATAAGAACTAATGAGGGGCACCTGGGTGGCTTAGTCAGTTGAGCACCTGACTTTGGCTCAGGTCATGATCTCACAGTTTGTGGGTTCAGGCCCTGTGTCAGGCTCTGTGCTGACAGCTCAGAGCCTGGAGCCTGCTTCAGGTTCTGTGTCTCTTTCTCTCTCTGCTCCTCCCCCACTCGTGCTCTTTCTCTCTCTCTCTCTCAAAAATAAATAAATGTTAAAAAAAAATTTTTTTTAATAAGAACTATTGATAGATGAAACTCTAGGAATGTATCCACCCTGTGGACTAATATTTGACACAAAAATTTACCAGAGCTGACAAGAAAATTCAGCACAACTTTAAAAGTTATTCTCTGACTAAGGGGAAAGCAGAGCTATGTGTGTCGATGTGGAGGATGCTCAAAAGTATAATAATAATAATAATAAAAATTTTTAAAAAGTGATGTAAAATGAAAGTTTAAAAGGTTACTTACTGTTTATAATTTTTATAAAGCTTAAAAAACATGTAGAACAACACTATACATTGTTTATAGCTATAGATATACATGTAGTGAAAGTAAAAAACATTTGTGAAAATGAATAAACCCAATTCAAGATGGCACTTATTTTGGGGGAAGAATGGATGGAAACAGAATCTACAATGGGTACAAAAAAGACTATATTGTTTCTAACATTTTGTTCTGAAAACAACAGATCTGAAGCAAAATTAGGTAAAATATTAAGATTTAACAAGCTAGGTAGTTGCCTACTTACATTTTTCTGTATGCTTAATATATTTTAGTTTTTCTTTTGGTTTAAATATTTTGTGCTTATTTGAGAAAATGCAGTTTAGAAATATAAAAATCAATTACAATTCTATTACTGAGAAGCAGATTTCCTCCCATTCTTTTTTTTTTTTAATGTTTTTTCTTTCTTATTTAGTTATTTATTTAAAAAAATTTTTTTTCAACGTTTATTTATTTTTGGGATAGAGAGAGACAGAGCATGAACGGGGGAGGGTCAGAGAGAGAGGGAGACACAGAATCGGAAACAGGCTCCAGGCTCTGAGCCATCAGCCCAGAGCCCGACGCGGGGCTCGAACTCACGGACCGTGAGATCGTGACCTGGCTGAAGTCGGACGCTTAACCGACTGCGCCACCCAGGCGCCCCAGTTATTTATTTTTAAAGTAGGCTTCACGCCCAACATGATCAAGACCTGAGCTTAAATCAAGAGTTGGACGCTCACAGAAGTGCCTGGGTGGCTCTGCTGGTTAAGTGTCTGACTTCGGCTCAGGTCACGATCTCACAGTTCGTGGGTTCAAGCCCTATGCCGGGCTCTGTGTTGACAGTTCAGAGCCTGGAACCTATTTCAGATTCTGTGTCTCCCTCTGTCTCTGCCCCTCCCCTGCTCGCTCTCTCTCTCTCTCTCTCTCTCTCTCTCAAAAATAAACAAACATTAAAAAACAAATAAAAAAAAAGAGTTGGACCCTTACATAATAGGGGCATCTAGGTGTCTCAGTCAGTTCAGCATCCAACTCTTGATCTCAGCTCAGGTTTTTTGTTTTTTGGTTTTTTTTTTTAAGTTTATTTATTTATTTTGAGAGAGAGCAAGGAGGAGGAGGGGCAGAGAGAGGGTGGGACAGAATTCCAGGCGGGCTCTGTGCAGACAGCGCAGAGCCCTATAGGGTTCAAAGTCATGAACAATGTGATCATGACCTGAGCCGAGATCAAGAGTCGGACACTAAACTGACAGAGCCACCCAGGCACCCTGTTTTTATTTTTTTAAGTTTATTTATTTATTTTGAGAAAGAGAAAGAGAGAGAGAGAGAGAAAGAGAGAGAGAAAGTAATGTGGGCACATGTGCTAACAGGGGAGGGGCACAGAGAGAGGGAGAGAATCCCAAGCAGATTCTGCCCTGTGAGCTCAGAGCCCAGAGCCCGATTTAAAGCTTGATCTCACTAAGCGTGAGATCAGGACCTGAGCTGAAATCAAGTCAGACACTTGACTGACTGAGCCACCCAGGTGCCCACAGCTCAGGTCTTGATCACAGGGTCGTGAGTTTAAGCCCTGTACTGGGCTCCGTGCTGGGCATAAAGCCTATTTAAAAAGAATAAAATAGGGAGCGCCTGGATGGCTCAGTCGGTTGAGCGTCCGACTTCGGCTCAGGTCATGATTTCACTGTTCGTGAGTTTGAGCCCCACATCAGGCTCTGTGCTGACAGCTCAGAGCCTGCAGCCTGCTTTGGATTCTGTGTCTCCCTCTCTCTCTGCTCCTCCCCTGCTTGCACTCTGTCTCTCTCTCTCTCTCAAAAATAAATATTAGAAAAAAAATTTTTTTTAAAAGAATAAAATAAAAAGTCAAAAAAACATAATAAACTCAGATTCTTCTTACCTTCATTGCATCAACATGAATTTCCTTCAGTTGCTGGATATAATTATGCAGCTTCTTTCTGTCACCCAAAGTACTAAAATTATAACAGGATAAGCAAATCCGTCATTATTTGCTTAATAATAATCCCTGGAGTATATAATAGCATATAATCAACTCTAAATTATCTACACTAATAGAACGAGAAGTCAGATTAAAAGGAACAATTAATAATTCAAACATACGCCCCCTCTAAAATTCTCCCCCGAGGCTTCTGCCCTTGATTCTCCTCTCTTGGTAACTCAGACTTCAACATCTCCTATGTCTCTACTTAACGCTCAATTTATACTTCAGACTTATTTTAACCTAACTGAAGTTGCCATCTTCTCTCACAACCCTGAATCTGCATGGTTCAAGGTAGTACACGGAATTATAGCATAGAGATAATGAAAAAGGACTTTGAAATTAGAACTGGTTCACATCTGCACATGGAATCTGTGTGACCTTGGGGGCAGGGAGAATCACTCAACCTTTTTTAGTATACTAATGTTCTCATCCATAGCACAGGGAAAATATTATCTACCTTACAGAGCTGGAGAGGGATTAAATAATGTATTCAGCACTGCAGTTAATGATAAAGACCCAGTTCCTTCCCTCAAGAACTAGAGAAATTTAACTATGATTACTGGTGTCACAGAAATCATCACTGATTATCAATTCAATATTTACCCTATCAGAAGTATTTTAACTATAAGAATTTAGGAATCTATTAGTGTGAACAAGTGATAAACATGTGAACAAAGTTCACATGATAAGTCCATGAAGAGATTTTTAAATTTATTATGGTAATGGGTTACAAAGGTCCAAGTCTGACTTATGAACATTGGATGTGACTTAGGCACAAATCCAATATATATGAAGGCAATAGCTTTACTTATACCCATCTCTTTTGTCAGTAATCCCTTGTAATGCTTCAGTTTGAGAAATAAATTTAATAGGATTTAATGTAAACAGCTCAAAATCCTGTAATTGGTTATCCGGCTTCATTTACCTAATTGGTCCAAGCAAATTAGCCTGACACTTGGCTAATTATCAACAGAAGCAGCATGTAAAGGGGCAGAATTTACTGACCTAACAGCTAATTAGATTGAAAAATAAATCTTTTGCTAAAAGTCCTAGATACACTTAGAGTCAGAACCGCTACAATTGGCCTCTTTATCATATTAAATTGTACTACAATCTAAGAATCACTTTCTTGGGATACATGGAGGCATTATTACAGCTGATAAATCATAAAGCAGCATACATTGTGTTTTCCTATTCTCCTACCATCCTCATTAGTTTGATATAACAAGCAGAGGGAAAGGCCAAGCTTGGAGAAGTACTTACAGGTCAGCGATAACGGAGTCAGGTTAAGTATCATTGCACAGTTGAGCACAACCAAGAGTTACAGCATAAAATACCAAACCTAAACCAATCTCATTGCTTAGTATTTACTTGAACTGATACTCGGTATTCATTACTTAATAAAACCCAAAAAGAAATATTCACAAAGTAATTGCTGATTAAAGTCTATAAAATTAGGGGCACCTAGGTGGCTTGGTTGGTTGAGTGTCTGGCTCTTGATTTTGGCTCAGATCATGATCTCACAGTTCATGGGACTGAGCCCCATGGTAGGCTCCAGCCTGTGGT